CACCCCCGTTGTTATGTTTAATCGGCTTTAATGGAAGGACTGAAGCAGTCCTCTGCCGCGACTCCACAGTGTCTGCTGCATGCCTTCCTCACACAGCTGCATGACCTGATTCATCCCTCCATTCTACTACAAACAAGTGTGGACCCATTCTTCCAGCCAATTCTCTCTCATGTCCTCATTTGTAGTGTGAAAAACTTTATAAACAACTTTATATCCCTCACTGTAACACAACTCACTTGTTAGAAGAGTCAGTACCCAGTGCCTATCCTCAAGAACTGTTCTGGAGCAGCCTGGGGTTTTGTTTGTTTATAGGGTAAGTGGAACAATGAAGTTCGAGAAAAGGATTAAGACAGTCATGCATTAAGCATTTTGACCCCTCACTTAAGGTAGAGGTTAGAAAGACACAGCACAAAAGTACAGCTTATTTAGTTGGACAACTTTATTTTCCTCACTAAATAAAAGCTTTTGATATAGTGTGCAAACGCTGTTTACACTAGTCACTCCTCAATCCATAAAATCCATTTATGAAAAGTAAGCTGAAAAAAAAGTTATGCAAACAGCAAAAAATGTATATATATATATATATATATATATACACATACACACACAGTGGTGTGAAAAAGTGTTTGCCCCTTCCTGATTTCTTATTCTTTTGCATGTTTGTCACACTTAAATGTTTCAGATCACAAAACAAATTTACATATTAGATAAAGATAACACAAGTAAACACAAAATGCAGTTTATAAATGATTGTCTTTATTATTAAGGGAAAAAGAAATCCAAACCTACAGGGCCCTGTGTGAAAAAGTGATTGCCCCCTAAACCTAATAACTGGTTAGCAGCAACAACTGCAATCAAGCGTTTGCGATAACTGGCAATGAGTCTTTTACAGCGCTGTGGAGGAATTGTGGCCCACTCATCTTTGCAGACTTGTTGTAATTCAGCCACATTGGAGGGTTTCCGAGTATGAACCGCCTTTTTAAGGTCATGCCACAGCATCTTAATCGGATTCAGGTCAGGACTTTGACTAGGCCACTCCAAAGTCTTAATTTTGTTTTTCTTAAGCCATTCAGAGGTGGACTTGCTGGTGTGCTTTGGATCATTGTCCTGCTGCAGAACCCAAGTGCGCTTCAGCTTGAGGTCACGAACAGATGGCCGGACATTCTCCTTCAGGATTTTTTGGTACACATCAGAATTCATGGTTCCATTTACCACAGCAAGTCTTCCAGGTCCTGAAGCAGCAAAACAGCCCCAGACCATCACACTACCACCACCATAGTTTACTGTTGGTATGATGTTCCTTTTCTGAAACGCTGTGTTACTTCTACGCCAGATGTAATGGGACATACACCTTCCAAAAAGTTCAACTTTTGTCTCGTCAGTCCACAGAGTATTCTCCTAAAAGTCTTGGGGATCATCAAGATGTTTTCTGGCAAAACTGAGACGAGCCTTTATGTTCTTTTTGCTCAGCAGTGGTTTTCGTCTTGGGACTCTGCCATGCAGGCCATTTTTGCCCAGTCTCTTTCTTATGGTGAAGTCATGAACACTGACCTTAACTGAGGCAAGTGAGGCCTGTAGTTCTTTGGATGTTGTTGTGGGGTCTTTTGTGACCTCTTGGATGAGTCGTCGCTGCGCTCTTGGGGTAATTTTGGTCGGCCGGCCACTCCTGGAAAGGTTCACCACTGTTCCATGTTTTCACCATTTGTGGATAATGGCTCTCACTGTGGTTGGCTGGAGTCCCAAAGCTTTAGAAATGGCTTTATAACCTTTTCCAGACTGATAGATCTCAATGACTTTATTTCTCATTTGTTCCTGAATTTTTTTGGATCGCAGCATGTCGTCTAGCTTTTGAGGATCTTTTGGTCTACTTCACTTTTTCACACAGGGCCCTGTAGGTTTGAATTTCTTTTTTTCTTTTCAGGAAGGGGGCAAACACTTTTTCACACCACTCTGTGTGTGTGTGTGTGTGTGTGTGTGTGTATATATATATATATATATATAAATATATATATAAAAGAGTGGTTGGAAAAGTTAAGTCAAAATTAATTACAACTGTTTTTGGTAAATAAAACCACACCATAATTATAAGTAGACATGGGCCTTTTAAGGCAAGTTATATCATAAATATTGTGTTGTCTTCTTTAATTTCAGTTTCGACAGAAGTTCAATAAAACGCTTTACTTTTGTTATTTTTGACCTCAATACAGCGATCCCAGCGATACACGTTCAACACAAGCAGTAGAACAGCCTATATATACAGCTGAGATCATCAGCTCATCATCTACATCTCTGTCAAGTCACCCCACCCCGTCTTTGCATGGCTGAGCCTGACCACAGTGACCACTTCCTCCACTGACTCTGACTGAGAGATTCACGCATTCATTACACATTCCGATTGGTTATGGTCTGGCATACCGAGACAGGCTGAAGAGCGGAAATGTTGCATTACACTTTATAATACTCTTATTGATGATAGACATACAGATATTTTACAGAGGAGCCTTAATGATCAAAAAGGTTTTAAAAACCTTTCTTTTGAAAAGAAACCTGATGATGCCCAGAAAGGGCTGTTTCACAAATGTAGATGCGGTTGTTAGAGGAGTAAAGCAGCGGCTCTGCTGCAAGGCTGAGGTTGAAGTGAAACTCTCAGATGTGTGTGGAGCTTTTTGGAAACTGTCACACTTCCTCAACACAAAGCTTTACACCCAAGCTGTGGAAAAAGTGTAGGCCTAGTGCTAACGGTATCACTAACCACCCAGAAACACCCTCCTTACCAATCCTATTTTCAATGAAATGACCACTTCAAACGAACCTTCACACCAAGACTTTAGCACATCAGGAGTCTGCCTCCTCATAGGCACGTTATTATTTGAACTTTTTTTTGTTACTGGCAATCTCCCATACATACATATAAATCTAAGCTTTCAAAACAATCAGTCCTAAATACTATCCCATGAACACTTAACAGCTTGATGCACATTATTGCACCCCAGTGGGAAATTTGGGGCTATCTAAAAAGAAACCCAGTTTTCAGTTGTTATGAATTAATCATCAGGGCAGTTTTTTTTAATCAGAGTTATAACATTAGTTGCGAATGAGGTTAATATGAATTGGACAAGAAGTATAGCTTACTATCACGGGTGATGTTTCAGTTAAGCTTTCTTTGAACTGAAGGTCAGTATCACACTGAGCTAATGTTTCATTTCTTTGCCATTGGGGGAAAAACTGAATGATAGTACAGAAGTCCATGAAACCAGCAGTAAAAGGCAGTAACCCAGGACAGTGACTGCAGCATTACCTCAAACGACACTCAAAGCATGCCAACAACTTTATGAGCAAGTCAGTTGTTCAGAGTCCCGTGATGCACAGACTAATTTGCCTACTCCCTTATCTAGTGAGAGGAGGAAGAGGCAGCTGACTAGTTCAACATCCGTTCAAGATGGTGGACACTGCAACAAGTGAACAGAGCACTTGCTATTAACAGCTGTGTCAGCAGCAGTACAAACATTTGTGCCGCACACTGATGGCTTCCCTTCAGCTTTCTCTGTGTGAAGCAGTTTAGCAGCTGTGCAGCCATTGGAGACGAAGAGGGGCGCATCCTGTTTTCAAAAAAGGACTAAAGTGGGGGAATGCTTAGTTAGGTGAAAACAGGACCCCAAATGCACAACAGTATACATACTTGAGCACCTTTTGTTGACTATACATAGACTATGTGTATATATTAAAAGTGTCAGCATGGTAAATGTACTGCACCAGAAGCAAAAATCAACATAGATGCACACTGGAATTCACTACTCACATTTTTTAAACTCTTTCACCATTGACCACCTAAATCTAAAGTCCATACACTTTTTTCCCTGAAAGTTGGTTTCCACAGAGGTGGTCAACTGATGTAGTCAAATATTAAACTCAGCTTGCATTCTTTACATTCCCACCTTTCATGGATTCCAAAGTACTTAGCAGTGTCCCAGTTTGTAAAATGCTGTGCAAATACAGGCTGATGACAAACACAACCATTCATATAGTCAGTAGAACTTTGGTTTCACAAGGTTAGCTAAAATAGGACTCAAAGTGAGAACATCATGTGGGCATGAGCACATTGGTAGAAATGCAGAGCAACTAACAAGAATTTGCTCAGTTTTCTTTCCCTTACTCATTTCGGTTTGGCATCTCAAGGGACTGTGGAAACCCCCTGCAAATAACCCTGTTAAAACATTCTTTCATGCTATATAGGACATTAAGGACATCTTACAAATACACTGAAACACGAATAAAGTAAAACCTTTAAAATGACTAAGTTTAATTAGAGGTTACAATTACAATTAGTTTCTGTACATGTTTTTCGAAATGAGTAAAGCAATGAGAGAAAATGAGTCATATGAAAGGTTTCTCTCCATTTCAATGGCAAGTTGCGTCTGCTCTGATGCAAGCACTACATTGGAAATGCAAGAATGTAACAATGCCACATTTTGGAGACACAGAACTGCAAGTGACACACAGTCTGGTGGTTTAAAGCCTCAACTGTAGAAAAAGGACTTCATGGATTACAAAAAGCATTCAGCTGCTTTGAGTCTTTAAACAATCTCTGAAAACAACAGCTTTTTCCATTTGTTCTGGGCTTGGTGCTCTGCAAGGTGATGCAGAAAAAAGAACCCAGTATTCAATTCAGAAGCTTTTGACAGCATGACGCATGAGAGTCTAGGCAAGTATTTGAGAGTCAAAGACTTTTTGCATATAAATGTTCCATGGGTCTCATTTACAGTTTATCTTGTGATGTCAGTAAAATCATGACAATGGTACAGTTTAATCTGTCAGTCTATCTAATATTATGCTTGCTACAACTTCCCCAATGAAACTGTCCTTTACTACAGATATTAGAACTGTTCTAAAACATCTCTGTATAAAATGCCTTATTATGTCAGAATGATGGACTATTTGCAGGAGACAGACTCTCAGTTTTTCACACAGACTCCAAAAACACAGACAACTGACAAGAGAGGTCAGGAAGAATAAACTTTAACCAAATAAAAAGAAAGAAATCAGATACAAAAACCTATATTATTCAGAAAAAAATAGAGAATCTGCATTTAGATTAAATTCAGGAATGCTCTACCAAGCAACAGTCAATTAAGTAAGGTGACGGGTGTCACAAAACAGAACTAAATGCGAGCAAAACCCATTCTTGTTCAAAGAGATAAATTATTAGTCATAAGGGTCATTTCAACAATCAAAAATAAATGAAAATATAATTCAAAGTTTTGAGCATGTTCATCAGAGAGATAATGTTATTTTTTTCTCACCAGGTTTATTTTTCTTTCTAACTAAAACAGTCATTGCCAATCAGTCGGTCATTAAGATTTGTAATTTGAGGTTAGCCATGTTAAGCCCTCATACAGTCCATCACCTGTGGTAGCACATGAAGGCTGCACATACCAATTCCTATCTCTGATGCGCGTTAGTCCCAGCTTCTCTTGAATTTCGTGTGGTTTCATGGCATCAGGTAGATCTTGCTTATTTGCAAAAATCAGAATGATGGCGTCACGCATCTCCCGGTCATTGATGATCCGGTGCAGTTCTTGCCTGGCCTCGTCAATACGATCTCTATCCGCACAATCCACGACGAAAATTAACCCTTGTGTGCCCGTGTAGTAGTGCCGCCAGAGGGGACGAATCTTGTCCTGTCCGCCAACATCCCACACATTGAACTTGACGTTTTTATAGGTGACTGTCTCCACGTTGAAGCCCACTGTAGGTATAGTAGTTACAGACTGTCCCAGTTTCAGTTTATACAGAATGGTGGTCTTTCCTGCTGCATCGAGCCCTAGCATCAATATTCTCATCTCCTTGTTGCCAAATATTTTTGACAGCATCTTCCCCATCTTGTAAATAGTTCATAAATATCTCCTTCACTCTTACTAGGAAATAATACTGAACACACAATGGCCCCTGAAAGTTTCAGACAGTTCTTGCTGAGTGTGCTTTCTCGAGTTGGTCAGTCAATCAATATGGACTATGAACCAACTCCAATGGGAGCAGTGTTCACTTCCACTCATCCAAGCACAAATCATAAACTTTCCCTTAGGAATGACAGACTCAGAAAGTAAGGGGCAGGATGTACAAAATGGACGTAAACCCGTCACTTGAGTAGTAATGATTACAGCCAGTAGCAGCTTGTGAACGTTCTCTTTAGACACCTAAGAAGTATTCAGAGTTAAGAGTCTTGAGCACAGTACTGTCCAAATGAAGAAAGGTAGAAGAGTTCAACCTAATCCACTACCTGCAATAGCTGTCATGCACAATGATCCTCAGGCTTCAAGGTTATTAAAGACGTTAAAAGCCAGTATTTAAGACGTTACTTGAGCTGTGTCTGTGCCCAGTTTGTCGTGCTGTCAGCAGCTTAGGGGAGGCCTCAGAAAGCCTGCGGTCCTCCACACTTCCTCTCGGCTTCTTCCTTGTCCTTCTCTCCCCTCTTACAACGCAGTCAGTCAGCCAGCGGTTGGGGGAAAAGCTCAAAAGCCCGTTGGCGAAGGTCTAACGATTCCCAGCCACAGCAGACGTCATACAGGCCGCCCAAAGACGAACCGCGTCGATGTTCAAGCCCTCAGTGTGTGAATCCGTGTCGCCGTCCCCCTGAGAGACAAGAGAGCTTCAGAGCACACCTCAGCAGGCCGGCCCCGTTAGCCAGCGGCTAAAGCTAGCCGAACAGCCCGGGTTCATTCACAAACAACAGAAAAAACTGCACAGAAATTCAACAAGACCAACTGAACACGTCCGAGCACTCTCTTAATTATTAATTTAATGACAATAAAACATGTTTTAGGTTACCTTTGGAGGCCCACCATTCTACCCCAGGCTCTCGCCCCGTGTTCACCCCGCCGACTCTCTCCAGCACCGAATGAAAAAGCGGAAAAGGTGTGGACGCGAATCATCCGCCACTTCCGCTCCTACCGCCCCCTCCCGCGCGTTCTGCCTCAGCCTTTAGTCAAAATGACAACAGTGACATCTGCCTGCCAGTGTAACACAGTGCTCAATGAGCGCAGACAGTACAGCACAAGTACAGTCAGGTCCATAAGTATTTGGACAGCGACACAACTTTTGTAATTTTGCCTCTGTACACCACCACAATAGACCTGAAATAGAACAGTGTAGACTTTCAGCTTTAATGCAAGGGGTTTAACAAAAAATGGACTACGGCATTATCTGTTTAGGATTTTGCTATTTTTATATAGTCCCTCTATTTTCAAAAGGATTAAAAGTAATTAGACAAACCAACAGTTATAATTACAAGGAAGATTTTTAATACTTGGGTGCAAATCATTTGCAGTCAGTGACTGCCTGAAGTCTGGAACCCATGGACATTAGCTGCCAAATGCTAAGTTTCCTCCTTGAGATGCTTCGCCAGGCCTTTGCTGCACCTGCCTTCAGTTGCTGCTTGTTTGTGGGCCTTTCTGCCTTCAGTTTTATCTTCAGTAAGTGAAAGCCTGCTCAACTGGGTTGGGTTGCTTTTGCGGTATGTTTTAGGTCATTATCCAGCTGTACTGTGAAGTGCTATCCTATGTCCTATTTTTGCAGCATTTGACTGTATCGGAGCAAAAAGTATAGCGATATACACTTCAGAATTCACCCTGTTACTTCTATCAGCTGTCACATCATCAATAAGCACCAATGACTTAGTGGCATTGGCAACCATACAAGCCCATGTCATAACACTACCTCCACCATGTTTGACAGATGATGTAATATGCTTTGGATTATGAGTCCTTCTTTTCTTTTGCCATAATTTTCTCTTCCCAGTATTCTGGTACAAATCTTCTGTAAATGAATGAATGAATGAATGAATGAATAAATAAATAAATAGTTCATGCAACATTTTTGTTAACCTTATCACATCCCAGCTTATTACATACTAAGGCTTATTATTCAGTAACTACAGGGACTTCGATGCAAACTGGGTGAGCTATTCCCAGGTTATAGAAGTCTGTAATAAAACTTTGGGCTCACCGGGAGGCCCTTGCCTTTTAAGGGGTTAAACCCCTTTTATTAAAGTCTACACCTTAATGTACCTTGAGTGCTTCGTTTCAAATTTCAAATTTCAAATTGTGGTGGTGTACATAGGCAAAATTATTAAAAAATTGTATCACATTCTAAATACTTTTGGACTTCGCTGTATTTTGACATCTGCCCCAGCAACTCTGTACTGACCCAATGAAGTGCTAGTCTTTTGTGTAGAATAGTGGGCGTGGTTGTATAAGCTTTTAAATAATGCCAGAAAGAAGGGGTTGGAAAAAATACAGGAAAAAGTATATGTCACTTTTACTCACCTAAAGTGAAAACATGAAGCCAAAAATATACTTTGAGTGGAAGTAAAAAACTACCTACATTTAAACTTGCTCAATAACAATAGTAAATGATTTTTCCCTTTGTTTTAAGTTGTGTGATTCTCACACAAAGATCATCCAGCATACTTATGGGCAATTTCATTTCACACTGAATTTGGTTGGATGTTTTGATAAGAACAATAAATTCAAATGTGAAGTAACTGACAAAAAAGAAAACAAAAATTCCCCTGGCCTTTGAAATACGTTCTTTGTACTTTGAAAGTGTAAGTAGTAAAAAGTATGTTTTCTTTTTGAAAATGTTATTGAGTAAGAGTTTAAGTAGTTTTAATAATACTTAAAAAATAATACTTAAGCACTATACATGTATTTTCCACCCCTTCCAAAAAGAAATGGGTGTCACTCTGCAAATAAAGGCTGTTATTCATCAAATGTTTTCTTTTTGTTTGCTCTCTGTAAATGTATAACATTAGAAAATCATTAAAAAATAACTGAACAGTTTTACTGGTTGGGTTACTGGCCTTGCTTGCAGTCTCTTCTCACAGCTAACTCCAAAGTTCTCGCAGGTGATTGGTCAGGTGACTGGTATGGCTGCTGCCACTTTCTTGGAGCATTTCTAGAAGATCACTTTGTTCTACTCCAACATACAACAACAACAACCAAAGTTGCCCTAAGTCACATGGGCAGGCAAATATGATCTACTTGCTGTTTTTCAAGACTTTATTATTGGGTTCATAATATGATTTTCCAGCTCATTTACTTTTCTAACATTGAATGGTTCATCTAATAGTGTGTATTTCTATAGATAGGGTTTCACCCCTGATACTTTAGGCTTACATGTTTCTTTACCTACCAAGGGTGTAAAGCACAGTGGTTTAAAGTAGGAACATTTATTTTTCAAATGAGTATTATTTATATTAGGTATATACTGATTAAGATGATGAGGTCCAGCAAATGTCTTGCTTCATCTGAATTTATAAGGATGCATTATTGCTAGCAGTGACAGAACAATTGAAATTTTAAAGTAACCTGGACAGAGTTTGCTGCAAGTTACAAACGCCGATTATCATACTATATGAACAACATGGCTGAAGTTGACCTGGCAACAGAGAAAAAAGTTCATAAAAAGTCTAAATCATTTTTTCCCGGTGTATGTAGACACCCTGTGTGCCTTGTTGCTTAATATTCCAGAAAGCTGTGGGCTGTAAAAGCTGCGTCTCCTGGACATCCACTCCGTCCAAGGGCTCCCAGTACCAGGGAAACCTTGAGGAGATAAAAACCTACACTGCCGAAACATGTAGGGTTGTAGTGCTTGTATTCTTGCTGCATGCCTCTGTTTGATATCAGCAAATGTCAGAGTATCCCATGTTGGTTTGTCCTCAGCTGCCAGTTTCCATGGTTTTTCTGTTGTCTCCTCCCCACAAAGGCCTTCCATTAGTGGATCCAGTGGCTCCCTATTCACACTGTCCATCTTTTCCAATAAGGCCTGTTGGTTGATCCTGGGGCTGCTCATCTCTCCGCTGATACTGGGTGTGTCTTTGAGGACAGGAAGGATGGATGTGTAGGAGCTTTTGCTTCTCATGCCTTGTGAGGAAGAGTGAAAGAGTCCCAGCGAGAGTTTGCTCAGTGATCTGAGAAACTGTCTTTGTTGCTGTTCAAGTTGCTTCTGGTTGTACCTGTGCTCCAGCTCAAGGCTTCGTATGAGCCCTCTGTGCTGCTGAATTTGACATCGCTGAAGCCCGCCGTTACTGGAAGCTTTCTGTTTCTGCATTTTCATCATCTCGATTTGTCCTAAATAACTGTGAAATCGATACATATGTTGCAGAGATTTTAATTCTGTCCAAAGCACATTGTGCAAAGTGCTGATCCACAGACGCTGACACATATCAGTCAAATGTTACAATTAGGAACGGTCTTTCATCAGGGACTGTGTGTCCCAAACCTACCTCTTAGCAGTGTGGTCATGCAAGCTTACAATATTTGGTGATAGTATAAGTAATGTGGCAGTCTGTCCTCTTTGATGATCCAAAACGTGCAAATGGTGAGCATTGCTCTAAGTCATGTGTCCTCTCACAGGGGGAAACAGTTCAGTAACTCAAAACCCTATAGGGTGTCATGTGATAGCCTTATTATCATTATTTAAAATCGTCGGGATTCTCAGTGGATCTTTCCCCTAATATCTTAGCCTTGTTACTGTTTGCCTATTGATGAAAGTGCTTTTGAAACCTTTATTTGTTTCATTCATAATGGATGTATTTTCAACGCACTTAGTCTAATCATACAGCATTGAGATGGTCTGGAGATTCAGACAGGTGTCTATGCAGGGGTCCTGTACTGTACAAAAGGGTTACTGGCTTTGACCCACAAGAAAAGGGCAATGACAGACTCTTCGAGTTTAAATATTTAAGACTGAGTTCAGATGACAAGATATTCTGTTTAGAGGGGAGTATTTGTGAACAGCCTCATCAATGTTTCACACACTAGATCCTATTCACTCTCCCATGTTAATCGCTGGCCTTTAATTATGTACAAGTGACCAGCTCAGACTGTTATGCTGTGACACTGATTCAAATGAGGACTAAAATTAGCCTCACTCACATCAAAAAATATTCTGGATTTTGGAAAAGGTTTCTGACTTTTGAAATAAATAAAAGTGTTTTCCTAAACAGGACCTATGTCTGAACTACAACAGAATTTTTCAAGGACAATTCCCATTATCAGTATCAGTGTCATTTCCTTGCTCTCTCTCTCTCTCTCTCTCTAAATATATATATATACTACACAGTGAGGGGAGTTTAGTCTAGGACCAATCTCTTTCCAACTTTTCCAATTTCTTGGAAAAGTTAGTCATGTCCACTTGTTAATTAGATCTTTTCTTATCACACTACGCTACCAAGATGGGCCGGTGAAGGGTAGCACATGCTTCCTTACAGACACGTGAAGACTGCTACTGCATCTTTATGAACTGTTGAGAGGAGAACGCTAACTACCAATTTTGTTACATCGGCGAAAAAGTGCCTATGTTGGCTAGCATTACACTGCGTGATGGAGGGCCATTCTCCCAATACAGAGAAAGCAGGCTAGTTATGCTGTGTTGCCAATGCTCAAACAGTCGTACCACTCAGGTGCCTAACAACTGTCTCTGACAACAGCATGTGACCAATTTATCTCGATTTCAAGCAAACAATTAGTGGTACCTTATGTCAGACATGTCTGAACCCAGAAGAGAAGGGTCAGGTAATCACAGACTGACCGAAACAGAACACGTAGAACTGTATATATAGAGTTTCCTGAATCCAGTTCACTATTTTAAGCTCCGAGACTATTGGTCTCGTTTTCTGAGCATAAAATATTTTGGACTAAATTACACAGTCATGGGAGTTTAGTCTAGAACCAAACATGACTGGTTTCTGGAAAAGTTATCTAAACAGTTCAACTAGCTTGTATACACATAATGTCTGGAGCACTTAACCAATCTAACTGGAAGTACACAAAGAGGCCCACAGTGACTTGCGTTTTTCACTTAGCTTACTGTCCATATGCAAAGACCACAAAAACCCAGACGAAGAATGCGCACTGCTTAGCGTTTAATGCAGTATGAATGCTTGCTGACTATGTCTGATCAAAATATTCTACTTAATTTATTTTTACACTAAATTCTACAAGTGAACACACAACATAACAGGAACACCTAATATATTAAGTTCTAGATAAGGAATAGGACTACAATGTGTCTTCAGAATATCTTCTGTACTTCCTGGTGTGTCATACAAGTCATGAAGTGTGTGTAAAGGGATACTTGGCCATTGTTCAAGATGAAAAGCTTCCTGTTCTTTGAGGGATGAAAGAGCAGGAAATTGTACTTTCATCTACTGCAGTTTCCTCTCAGAATGTTTCATAAAGGTTTAGATCTTTTGATTGGGGAGGCCATGCTAGGCAAATAATTTCATCTTGGTGTTCATAAAACCCCTCTTGAATTTGTATAGCAGGGTGTGTAGAGACACTGTTATCTAAGAATATGGCAACACCATGAAGGAAGTGCATGTGGTCCTGTAAAATGGTCTCATACTTTTGATGTGACCATGGAGTCATCATAACTAAGGACTCCTGTGAAATAGCTGCCCATGCCCTCAAGGCTCCACCACCATGTTTAACAGTTGAGAACATATTGCTGACTCAATGCTCACATTGAGGGCACCAGCAGCAAACAAGGGACCTTGAGAGGAGTCAAAAAGTGTAAAGGGGAAGCTATCCTCCTCTGCACAGCACCTGACAGTGGAACTAGGAAGAAATTAAGTGATTAATCAGACATTCAGTAGCACAAAGGAATGATCTGTAGGATAAATTAGTGAGCAATGGTTGTTAAAGGTCTGTCAGGTTTAGTGGTGGCCAAAAGCCCTGTTGATAATATTGATGCAATCATTTTGGTTTGTTTAGTATAGACAATAACTTTCTGTGCGTGTTGATGTCCTTCAAGTTATGATCACTGGTCTTGTTTGTTCTTATTTCACATTTGCTGACATGATTTTTTAAGCTGTTTCCTTGGACACAAGTTTTTGTGTGACCATTTATCTGCACTGTCGTTTTTTTCTTTTGTGAATTACTAATTTGACCTTCCTGTGTAATTTGACCTGTGTAATTTGACCTTCCTGTGTTTCATTTCATTCCATTACCTCAACACCTTTTTTTCATTATTTTGTCCATCCACCAACAACTGTATGTTTAAAAGATATAACAAACTCTTAAAAGTTTAATTAAGCAAAGCATTTAAGCTGCTTTATGTAAAACAGTTGTTTAAATGGCCCACATCCTACAATTTCCTTGCACTTCCTTTTTGTTCCCTGAAATCCACTTATGATGGATGTTTGGATTTGGGTTTTGTGTGACCATTTTCCAACCTCTCTTCATCGCTTAGAAATAAACAGGGTGTTCTGTTTTTGTTTCTGTGCCTTTAAAACTGATATACATAAATAACCTTTGTTGTGATTGGCTGCGCTGTATTGTTTCTCATTCAAAAAGCAATATAAACTGAGATTGTCTTATAATTTTGGCATGAATGAACAGAACTAAACTGCTGTAGGCTGAATAGGTGGACACATATAAATGCTTTGGTTTTGTGACATCACAAAAACAATTCAAAATGGACTGTTTTTGCAGTTTAGTTCCCATATGTGGACTGTTGACTGGGAAGTAATGAATGGTGCAATTTGAAATTTTCAAATTATTCACATCACATGTGTCAGGCTCCAGTCCTTGTGGGCCAAAACACTGTGGACTTAAACATGCTGCCTAAATAAACACACCTGATTTAGCTCATCAGCTAATTAGCAAAACCTTTATGAACTGAATTTACTGATACGCTGATATCTGCATCACTTTGGCCCAGAAAGTGCCCCATTTTGACATGCCTGATTTACCTTCCATATCAAACTATTTTATTTCAAAAAAGTAAGGAAAAGTTTTGTTTTCCATAATATGGGCCCTTTAATACCCTTAGGTGATACTATGGTTTTCTCTGTTCATATGCCTTGATTTTAAGGGGGTTATTAATACACAGTTGTACATTTAGCTTAAGGCTTAAGAAAATAAAACTTAAGCGGTAACTAACCCTGTAGGGGTACATAACCGCGAGTGCCTCTTCAGGGTTTTCTTATGAGAAAACTTTACTTTTTAGTTCTTTCATGCAACCCAGTGTGGGTCTTGATGTTCCAAATAGTGTTGTGTATCTGAATGTAACCTTATATAGCTACATAGCTTTCTGTCCACACTCTGTGCACAACTGGCCTCTCATTGGTCCTGAATGCCACTCCTTCAAGATTACATGAAGCCTCTGTAATGAGAAGAGTGATAGTTATCTTTATCGTTACAGTGAACAAAGGATCCGATGTGGTGAAATGGACTTCTATTTTCAGGTAAGCCTACATAGTCTATTAATAATAATAATAATAATAATAATAATAATAATAATAATAATGTAGTTAAATGTTTACTGTTTAGTCTACATTTTTCTTCTTTGTATTATTATTATTATTATTATTATTATTGTTGTTGTTGTTGTTATACAGTCAACCTGTTACAGTCCTGGTTTCAGATGTAGTTTCCTAACAGGTTAGTCCATTCATTCAGATAATCAGTCAGTCAGTTGATCAGCAGGATTAGTAGGTGTGTTAGAGCGGGTAAATCTCCAAACTCTGCTGGACTCCGGGCTCCAGTTTCCAACCCCTGATGTAAAGGTTTCCATAAGACAGCGCTGTTCCACCCCGGCTGGACGCAGAGTGATAGAGATAAAGCTCCAGCTCACTGTGCTGAACCACACTGTCCCTTTAAGACCCTCAGTTGGCAGCGGCAGATATGGCGGAGTGCGGGGGATCTACCTCAGGACTTTCTTCTTCAGCAGACAATATGACGTCCCTTGCGAGGGCGCTTTCTCACAGCACATTGAATCAGCTTGATCAGTCGGATGTTTTTCAGTCGCAGACGTCTCTTTGTAGGATGGGCCAGGTTCGGAGAAGAGCCATATCGAGCAGCCAGAGTGTTGACTCTCTGGATGTGAGCCCCAGCGCTGAGGCGAGGGTCCTGGTCATAAACACCGGCGGGACCATCGGCATGATGTACCATAATAACGGTAACTTTTAACGCCTCACCTGTAGACTTGTCACAGCGCCGTTTCGTGTCCAGTGATGAGGCGTATCGGTCGATACGACCATTGTTTTATTGGTCTGTGCTAACGGTAAACACCACATATAGAAAGAGGGCGAAGCTGAAGTCAGCTTCTTCTTCGAAGTTACCCGTTCCACCTAAATGGTGCAGCAGTTACAGTGTACAGTGTAGCTGTTACAGTGTACGTTACAGTGTACCTGCTGCACCTTTTAAGGTGGAACGGGAATATTCAAACAAGAAACCAGCTTCAGCCTCGAGGAGAGAGGCGCCGAGCCGGCTGAACTGTAGTGGGATCGCTAGGTTAGCTGAGAGCTACTTAGCTTGGCTAGCTGTGTGAACATGTGTCAGTCTGAGGACTGGATAGTTTTCAGTTTTTATTGTGTATTTAAATATGCAAGAAAGGCACAATTTATGTATTTTGAACCAGTCTAACGTTATTCCATACAGTCCTTTGAGCTCGACCAGAAACAGGTAGCTGTATTTTTTTCCTCAAAATGTTAACTTATATCACCAAGGTTGACAGAGTTGTAGCTCATATTGAAGTGAACGTTGCCTGATGTTACATCACTGCACTAGAAGCAGCAAGAACACCATGATTATGAGTAAAAAAGCATCAGGTCAAAAACCTGACCTTTAAGCTTGACCCATTTACAAGATCCTATAATAAAGGTGAATATTCCCTGTCAGTTCAGCTTTTCTTTATCCAGTACTGTGCAAAAGTGAGAGTGTGAAAAAAAAAAATGTGTAAAGCGATTTTTTCTTGGAAGTAAATATTTATTTGTTAAAGCATCATTAACATTAGAATGAACACAAATAAACAGTGATTTTGTGTGTCTGAATGGTAGCTGAACCATTTTCAAACCTCTTCTCAGCCCATATTTAGACTCTCCAGTGACTGTTCAAGTTACACTAATGCACAGCTGCTAAGCTCCTCACTGTGGGATCAAGGACCACCAGTCATATGGAAAACTGTCTGTTTAAATGCCAGTTTGTGAAAAAGACTAATTGATTTAGTCAGCCTGACGTTCATTAACTGATTACCTGACTTATTTAGAAAATGAAATAGTTTATATTTTATATGTTTTGTTTGGAATGGCACACTGAAGATGCATTGATGAGTGTAAAGTGTGCAAGTTAGAGTCCATCAGATAAAAGCACTCAATATTATCCTGAAGAAATGGAACATAATAAGCCGAACACATGGGAGTGGTGCCAGACCTAGGTAGTTTATTAATATTCGTATGCACTGGACATTGTCACTGGACATAACTTCTGCTGCATGTTTCTTGTGTACTACCCTGTTTTCACTATTGTGTTTAATTTGATGACAGTTAGAGATCTGTAATTAGTGTCTATAATTAACTCACCATGAGTGATGTTTTTGCCCTATTTTTGTTTGTCTGCTTCACCACAGTGCTGTGTCCAGAGCCCAATGCCTTGGTTAAAGCCCTGCGCAAACTCCCCATTCTGCATGATGAGCAGTACGCCCAGCAGACCAGGCTCTACGAGTACTATGAGCACCCGGAGAACACACTAGTACTGCCGTGAGTATAAACTCAAACGCTCACACACACATACACATTTTTATGCTCCAAAGTCTGTATTTTCTCTGTAGAAAACATTTTAAAGGACCCATATCTTAGTTTCCTTTTCCTGAGACCACCTTTTGATGGTTGCGTGGTTTTATGTACCAACAGGAACAGTTTTCATATTTACATTACTGTTTTCCCACCTGCCTTTACCCCTTAAATTAAACGGGCTGTTTTTTGTTATTGTGCATATAAGACTGATATATGTTAATAACCACTGTTCTGATTGGCTGCCTTGTGTTGTGCCTCACTCAGAAAGCAGTCTAGGCCAAAACACTCCATTTAACGTCATTGTGCATGGGTGACGCTAAACTGCTGCAGGCTAAATTTATGTAAACAAATTGCTTTTTTGACATCACAAAAACAAAATGGGCTGTTTTTGCAGTTTATTTTCCATATATGGACTGTGTGGACTGGGCAGTGAGTTGTATATTTTTAAATATTAACAATGTTTACATATTATACTCTTTACACTATTTACATATTAAATCTTTTATTTCAAAAAAGCAAGGAAAGGTTGGTTTTCCATAATAAGGGCCCTTTTATGTGAGTTAGTTTATTTTGACATCAAGTTGCAGGACTTTTCTGCTCCTTGTCTGCAAATATATGATGCAATATGTAATTTTTAATGAGAGAAGAAAATGTGTACAACATGTAATTTTCATGCAATAGATCATTTGAATTCATCTTAGAAAACCAAATTTTGTGCAAATTTAGTAGCACTGTAATTACAATATGCAACATGAGCATATAACAGTGCACATTTAATGGACAGTACTTCAGTGTGTAGTGTGTAGATTAGTCTTCAGAAACGCAAATACTCAATGTGACATTTATGATTAGTTTTTATCTTGAGTGGACTGTACTAAACATTAGGATTGTGTAACAGTCCCATATGCCCAATAGAGAGCGCTGTTTTCCCATGTTTGTGTTTAGTAACTCATTCTAAACCTCTGTGTGTTGCTTTAACAGGATGCCAACTCACCACGCTGATGAACTATCTCACGGGTCCTGTAGCGCTGGTAGCCTAATGTTTGCCCTTGTGGGTTGGCAGTGTGTGTGCGCTTGTGTGTATGTGTGTAGATGTATGTGCTCGATTTGCTTAACATCTGTCTCGCTAGGTCATGAACTGCTTACACAGAGCTTATGTAAAGGGTTTAGATGGAGTGATGGATGCAGGGATAAATATTCAGTGTTTGTACTTTTTAGTAATACTGAACCAAAACATCTTGGATGCATGATGATATCGGAATCTTATTGGTATCGGCAGATATTTGCTTAAAAAAATATTGGCATTGGAAAGATATTTTGATAAGTTTACAGATATTGTAAACTGATATTTGATGCCTTTAATGTTTTCCAGAAAAGCGAGCTACTGAGCTAAATTATCTGCATTTTGTTCATTTTACTGCATTTCTAACAATTTAGAAATAAATAAATAAAGATTTTTCTTGCTAATACTAATCTAGGTGACCCAGTTTCTACATTTTATAAATAGTTTTACAATGGCAGCCTCAGATATGTACACAAAAATATCACTTACTGTAATCGACCCAGAATTCCCATATTAATACATCCCTATAAAATTGATTCAATGAAGCAAGAAAATAATTTTTAATGTGATAAAAATGTGGATTTCTGTGTCCGATTGCTTGTTCAAAATGAACAATTTTGAAGGCAACAGTAGTTGTGTTTATATAATCAAAAAACAGTGACTCTGTTACACTAGTGCAGATGCAAGATAAAAGCTTTTGAGAACTACCTAACAACACTGACTTTGAATTTTTACTAATTTGACTTAGGGATGCACATTTTGACACATTATTTTGACCGATAACTATCATTAATTAGTGATTAAACACTAACTGGCAACTCTAAATCAAGGATGTGACCCATCAAAATATCAATTGTAAAATGGAAAGTTACAGAAATTTGATTGCCCGAGACAAAATTGTAGCCATTGTAAAATACTTGATACATGCACAAATTAAATGAATTCTGTATTAATGCTCCAAGATATTAAAAAGTGTTCCTTATAAGGACAGTGGAGTACTGACAGGTTGGCCAGGCATTGGCATGTATATTAAGCAAACAGCTCAAAGTCATACAGTGCCCTCCACAAATATTCCGATTCAGATTCCGAGGTTCACACTTGTGGACTCTCCTCTTTAGCTCATCTCACAGGTTTTCTGTGGGGTTTAGTTCAGGGAACGGGGTGGCCATGGCAAAACCTTGATTCTGTGGTCAGTGAACCATTTTTGTGTTGACTTTAAGGGAAGCTTTGGATCATTGTCCTGCTGGAAGATCCAACCACAGCCCAATTTAAGCTTCCTGGCTTAGGCAGTCAGGCTTGGATTTAGTATCTGCTGTTACTCTCAAAAGCCGTTGCCATCTTCCCCGGCCTGTCCCCCCTACAATTTTAAGATGTTGCTCAACTTCAGTGTTAAACCCGGCTACTCAAATATGAACTTTATTTATTGAAAATTAAATAAAATTGAATTTTATTTTAACTGATAGCATTGGTCAAATAATTATTTTTTTGTTGGTTAACGGTTAATCGGTCAATTGCTATCATCCCTATTGACTGCATTATGTAAAACATAGAATAGAAATCAAGTAAAATGTCACTCAGTGTCTGCTCCTTTTCTCATTTTTAAGTCTTACAGTGACGTTACACTGAAATTTGTGTACAGCTGTGGCTCAAGCTAAGCCTCAGAATGACCCAGCATGTTTTACAGGGTTGTAGGCATTAGGGGGTCTGCTGAAGGCGACATGCTCACTGGCCACTACAACAGAGCTGGAGTCTAAGCTCTTTTAGTCCTGTTTCAAGCATGTTTGATCTCGGAGTGTGTTTGAATGGAGCGTTGGTGTGTTGGTTGGTGCCACGTCTGGTATCAGACCGCCAGATGGGGGCCAGATATCCAGTTTAGAGCTTTCTCACTGCGTTAGCAGTGATAGAGCTAGGAGAATGTCCCTGCATGGCTAATCTCCAAGCATGCAGAGACACGAAGGTCAGGCTTCTATAGGCTAGCACACAAAAACTCACAGGGGCTACATGCAGCATCAGTTGATGTGATTATCAGCTGTATTCCCATTTTTCTTTACGATGAGTGTTGTCGACATAAACTATTGCAACCCAGTTGGGCAGTGTTACAGTGTGGTAGTTACTGCATGAGGCAGTAATATATCAAGTCATACCACCATTTAGGTAGGACTGATGAAGGCAGAACCACATATTTAAATCCTGTACCAGTCAAACATTTGGATCGTGTTGAATGCATGTTTTTCATACTTTTAAAGATATTTTGATCTAAAGTAGAGATGATACAATGCCATATTTTTTTATACCAATATTAAAAGGTTGAGCATTGGCTGTTACTGTACTACTAAGCTATAAAATGAGTGATTTTTAAATGAAGCATTAAGATGAGCATGTAAAAGTAGGCAATAATGCTCAAATCACTCAAACACTCTACGACCCCAGGAAGGAAGGAATGCACAGCTAAGAACATCACATCATACATTGCATTACAATCAGTACTTTTTCAGACTAGATTTGTTACAGGGTTGGTCCAAATTCCTTTTTTTCCCCTCCAATATCCAATCCAGCATTATTTTTTTTTGCCAAAGTCAGCATTATACTGATAGCCATTGGTATCAGTGTGAATTCGAAAATTAGGTGTCGAGTGGAAAAACAAATTTTGTGTGGATGTGAAGGATGTGATCTTCTGTCGAGTACACTGTCAGCTTCCATAACAGGCAGACACCACAAGTTTATTCTTTACCACAAATATCACTTTAGAAAGGACTATATTCAAAAGCACGGCTGCAGCTTTCATAGTGTAATGATCTTTTGTGATTCCAATAACAAATCTGCAGGGCCGATTGATCAAAGCCTGAGGAAGATGGAGGAGGGTCAGTGGAGCTGTCTGGCTGACTATATTGTGAGAATGAGGATTCATTCATGGCACTCCCTGGTATAACCATTATAATGTTAAACAAAAGGACATATGGAACTTATACAAAATAAACAGTAAACTTGTTTCTGTAATTGTGGCTATAAATTAGTAGTTTTGACCACAAGATTAATTGGCTTGGTGGTCCAAGTGGCCAGAGCAAATTCGTTTGAATATGCGTGGAGAAGGGCTGAGCAAAGGGCTTTGGCTGTTCACCCTTGCCTCAGTTTTAGGCAAGACGCTTTGCTTAATGGCTTTGTTCTCCTTATAGTCATTTGATAACCATGGTCTCTTCTTTAAAATGTCTGGATTTGAATAAGTTTGGATTTCAACCCTAATTACTAACTTGTAGCTCTGTCCCTGGGTTTTTGTGCATTGTAAAGTTGTCGGGCTTAAGCCATATCCCTCATACAGAGATTTTTGTTGAGCCTTTGTATGCTGTAAAGAATAAAAAGGTAATGCAGGATTTGTTACTTTTTCAGCATTTGCAGTGTTCTTTTGTAAGCAGTGAAACTGAGCAAATATGAATATGCATATGAATAGACAAATATAATAGATTTGATTTACCGACACTGAACAAAATTCAAGAAAATGGTACCTGATGTTTTGCTTATTCTCTTTTTCTCTCATGTTCTTACACTGCAAAAAATATTGTGGCAAGTGAACGCATCTTAAATCTAGTCAATACATTGAATATGTCTTATTTTGAGATTGTTGTCAGAATATTATTTGATTATTCTCCTAATTTATAGATGTTTTTTTCTTGTTTTAGGTAATTTTATCTGGTGAAATTGATCTATTTTGTTGGCAGATTGTTTGCTTGTTTAAAGATATAAGGCAGATCATTTTGCTTGTTTCAAGAATCAATACTTGAATCAAACAATGTTATCTGCTAACAGAATATGATAATTTCACTACCATTATTTAAATATTAGATATTAATATCTTTATTAGATATATCAACTAAATTTAAGATAATTTCCAAGATATCAATTTTTGTTGTGTACTCTGTCTTTCTCACTGTCCATCTCTCTCTTACTCTTGCGCACATTTCCCGTCTCCCTCTCAGCTAGGGATATGCTAATTCCTCCCCCTCCCTGTAGCACCCATACCAACATTGTTAGATAAATGAATAATTGGCGATTTGAATACATTGTCTTTTTCCTGAGGCACCCATCCTTTAAGAACATCAACAACATATGTTTGGGGCTGCTCTTGTGACTGGAGGCTAATTAGAGCACTAGCTGAGGCCTAGCTCATCAGAGAGTTGTTGGAGAAGCTAGGAAGGATAGGTGTGTGTGTGTGTGTGTGTGTGTGTTTGTGTATGTATCACCCCCTCCCTCCCCCGCTGTTCTATTGAAATACTGAACAAGGCTTGAGCCGTGCTCCTCTCCATGTCTATATTAGATGGCGGGGTGTTTTGGGGTGAGGGGTGCATTTCAAAAGGAGAGATTAAGGCAGTCTTTTCTTTGAGCCGTAAGCAGCCTCGCTCCTCCTTTACCTCATCTGTGCACTGGAACATGCCACGTCCAATCTAACAGCACTTACAGGCCGCATTAATATGGATGTGGGGTTTAGGGTGCACTGCCCCCTTTTAATTAGGACAAGGGGGTCGTGCTAAGATGAGCACACCCTGTGTTTAGGTGCGGGATGCCCCCCAGCACTCCTTTCAGCACTGTAAACCCCCATAAGCACAAATCTTCTCTCTAACAGAGGGAGTAAAGAGGATGCAAAGTTTTTAATGGATGTCTGTGCACTTTTAAAATAGAGGTACTAAAAAGGATTCTTTGAAGCTGTAGAAGAACCCTGTTTGGTTCCCTAAAGAATGTATCAATGGTAATTTTTAGCTACTATAGTAGAGCAGGACATTTTGGTAAATAATTGTGCAAGTATTTGAGCAAGATTAAGATTTTCTATAAGGAACCTACACATGACACATCTCTGCTAAAAATGAAAACGTAAACTTCGTTTCCAGCACCTACCATTTATGAACAATTTAGCCTGAATGGATAAATAGCAAATGTTACGTTACGTTGTACATTTTTCCAGGTAATTCTGGGCCATTTCTTTTGGTCCATTCATCTTGAAATGTACATAAAATATAAAGGACAGTGTGTATTTTCAAATTATGTCAAATACTGAAAAACGACAAAAATGGAGATACGAGCAATGCAGCAATATACATATATATCTATGTACTTAGAGGGTGGTTGTTGTAACATTGCGTTAAAACTAACCCCGCCATGTGGAGGCTGTGGTTTAGTATGGGTGGCTCTCACAATGAGTTGTTTATATTCTTCAAAATGATGCTATATTATAGCCAACAAGAGTATGATTAAAATAATATAGAGGAATACAGTGACTTATACACTCTTATCTTTCTGTTTGCTGTAAAAATTAACAGTTGCTGTGGCAATACTAGCAGGTGACCGCAAGCATGTCCTACTTACTGTTAACAACATAAAATATCTGTGTTACATTTTATTCAGTGTTAGATTGTGTCCCACTCTCCCCTACTACACCCACGCCCACACACACACACCCACAAGCTTACACAATTCCCCCCCCTATAGACTGTATTTTTGCTCCTTATCCTTGAAGCATTTTGAGGCACCCTGCTGATTAAGCAAAAGGCCTCTGAAATCGAGTTTGTTTCGCTTCCCTTCCAGGATCTGCCCTCAGCCCTCACCCTATAGCCCTTTATCTCGCTTCCTTCCTCTAACCCAGAAAACCTGAACTCTGTCCAACTCTCATGGTTGTATTAAAGAACCGCTTAAAAGAACAAAGGAAAGGATTTAAGAACCTCTATCAGTGCTTTTGCTAATTCAGATGTTTTAATTGGCACACTGACTTAACTGAGCTTGTTTAGGTCTGCTCTCACAGTCTGCACTGGTTTCATGTGTTGTGTTTTTTTAGCTTGTTATGCCATGTATGTTGTGGGTTTGAGTTTTTTTTATCTCAGGATGGGCTCATTTTGTGTTTTCCTGCTCTTTTAACACAGACTGTCCAAACAGAACAAAAGGATAGTGTACACTGTTATAGAATATTCTCCCCTGCTGGACTCCTGCAACATGACAACAGATGACTGGGCCACTATAGGGAAAGACATTGAGGTACTTTGTTATTCAGCATAATGGCACAGCATTTATGACATTTTGATATGCAGTAAAATCTGTTATTCATTCTGCTGCTGTCCCAGTTGGTGAGCAATTGGTGAAGTTGAGGATGAGCGTTGTTTGAGAGATGTTTTGTGCTCTGTCTTGCTCACAGAAACACTATGAGAAATATGACGGCTTTGTCATCCTGCACGGTACAGATACCATGGCCTACACAGCCTCAGCACTGTCCTTCATGTGTGAGCACCTTGGCAAGCCCGTCATCCTCACTGGCTCTCAGGTATGCCTGCTGGCCTTCACGCTGTCTTCAATCTCTATCTCACCAACTGCAATCCCTTTTCTATGCTAACTGAAACACTGTGTTTTGTTTGCCAAATTGGTTATTCATGGCAAAAGCAGAACATTTCACAAGGTTCAAAAGGAAAGGCTGAATTTGTACTCATGGCTTGATATTATATATGTAATTGTTGTTTAGTTTTTCAGTTTGTTAAGCCCTTGAACCATAGACATATAATTTACTAACTACTATAAACAATTCAGTAGCTACTGTGAGTCTAGCTTGCAAGCTTGATATGTAATTTCAAATCCATATTAAAAGCATATTTATTTAGGTTAAGTTATGCCTATAGTGTTTGTTCATGTTCTCTTATTGCTTGTTATTGTGCAGTTATTTAGTTTATAAAATAGTAGTTTGTCTTTCCAATGTTTTTACTTATCTTTTTATGTAAATCACTTTGACGTGTTGTAACATAAATGGAAATCGTTAATTAAGTTTTATTATTAGTAGTATTTACTTCAGTGTGAATAGACGCAGCTAAACTGCTATAGGCTTAGCAAGTGGATGTCAAAGTCAACTTTCATTTTAATTTTATTCCATCTCGCCACATATATGTTGAGTGAGATATGTGTACGGACATTATTTTTATTATTGATATATATTGATTACATATTGATATTTTATCTTAAATATCTCAGATATTTATTTCGTAGAATTTGCTAAATAGTGTGTGCAGTATGAACAGGAAATGTGTAAATGTTGTGGGTTATGTGACTTCACAAAAACAGAATTCAAACCAAGATGTTTTTGCAGCTGATTTTCCAAATTGAATATGTATGGATTGAGAGTAACTGATAAATTCTGACTATGCTTACTAAATATTGCATTAAACTTTTTCATTACAAAGAGGTGAGAAGAATTTAGTTTTCCATGATATAGGCGTTTTAATGATCGCAGAAATGTTATAATATACTTTGTTGGTAAACTCTTTTTTAGAATTTGAAACGTATGTTCTCTTTTCTTGGTGACTTCATTGTGTCTGGCAGGTACCTATCTATGAAATGAGAAATGATGGGAGAGACAACCTGTTGGGGGCGTTGTTGATCGCAGGGCAGTTTGTCATCCCAGAGGTGAGTGAGGCCTCCTCCACTTCTGAGTATTGAATCAGCCTCTTGCAGATTATGTCTCTCCATTCAAATGCAGTATAAACCAGGCAAGGCCATGTTGTCAGAAGGCAGCTTCTTTGTAAAGCTGAGCGTTTCACATAACTCTTCAGTACTGATAGAGACGGAACTGACTCCAGACTGTCTGACTCACTCATATTTAGCCAGTAAAATTTAAAAACACATGTGCCTTTCTTTCTTTATTAAATAACATAGATACCAATAAAGATATCAGTGGTATGTATTTATTTGTGTTTAAAAATAGACTAATCAAAAGTCAGAGCAGTTGATTTGGCCTGTTTTGATGACTTTGCTTATTTAACTTGTCAGTCTGCCACCTCTTTTGTTGAAAAAGAGTGGTTTAATCTTAGTCGCAACCACCCCCATGGCACTGGCTCAACTAGTCTGTTTAGTTTACTGGCTGACGTAAAGTGTTGCAATGAACCCACTCCGAAGCTATACTCTATGGAAGCTGATGAAAAAGAATTGGCCCCTCCCACCCAGGAAGAAATGTCTACTGGTCCAAACTGACAGACCAGAAAAGTGAAATTAGTTTGAGTTCATGAAGGGGAAATTAAAATGCTTTTTAAAATTTCTTTCCACACAGGTGTGTCTCTACTTCCATCATAAGTTGTACAGAGGAAACCGTGTCACTAAAGTGGATGCTGGAAGTTTCAATGCTTTCAGCTCCCCCAACCTGGCTCCATTAGCAAATGCTGAAGTGGACATCAAAAGTTAGTTCTGTGCCAACAAATGAACTGCATCACCAAACCTTCTCACTAAACTACACAGACAGAAAAGTTTTTGACCTCGCTGAATTCTGGCTTTCTGTTCCTGCTACGTTACAAGTTCTGTGTGTTGTTTCTATTCTGTTTCTTTGCAGTAAATTGGGACACAGTGTGGAGGGCCAACACAACAGCAAAGTTCAGGGTCAACACTCAGATGAATCGTAATGTTGGCCTCCTTCGACTCTTTCCAGGAATCACATCTGAGACAGTAAGATGATGTTGAAATGACAGTGTTGAGTTTTTGTGGTCTTGTCCTGTCTTATCAATAGGGCTGGCCAGCACAGCATTTTACAGGCTTTGAGTTGTCTTTGGTGTGTCCGAACGAGTACCCAGATACTTGTTCTCAGTAGTAGTCTTGAAACTGTAAACTTATATTAAATACAGAGACAGATGAGTCTGGATGGATTTTTGCTTATCTACATAGCAACGATGACACAGAAGTTCACAAAGTAAATCTTTTGAAATCTTTGCTTAGTGATTTGTTCATGGTCAGTTTAGCTGGTTTACTGAATGGATAATCAAGTTCTTATTCCATCTCTAAATGAATGGTCGAAGTTAAATTCCTTCATGAGAGAAATAACTTTGATTAGGGAACAAAAATCTTGTTCAACATTGCGACTCTGCAAGTCATTTTGATGTTTATTCCAAATTTTCATAGATTCATAGACAGCCATTCAGTATCTTAATAATCAGCTAATCCGATGAGCTAGCCTTCTCTTTGTTCTCTTAGCTCTACAGCAGCTAAACAAATGACTGAGGACGTGCTCAGCCTCTTCACTTGAACGTTGCTCAACAGTCAGAGCTATAGCTGCACAAATGAACATGTATTTGGCTGTTTTTCTTTGCTTACATTTTATTAATACCTTTAACTTACCTTGCGTAAATCTTTGAAAGAAAAGGGGGCAACTTGTGATATCGTAGTGGGGAGTATGGCTGTATTCAGCTTTTAGCTAACTTTGCTCGGGTATGACAATTTTGTATAGTATAATATCATGTCCATTGTTAAATAAGTGCAATTTTTTCTGGGTTTATGATAAAATGCTTTGTGTAAAACAGTGATAAATAAGCCTGTAACTCAGAAAAAATCTCAAAAAGTGTGTTCTAGAAATTTGGTGGGGTCTAGAAACGAAACTTTCGAATAATAAATAATGAAATGAATACCAACGTAACAAACAAATATTTGAGTATTCAAGTAGTTCGTGTCAGCCCTATTCATCAGGTTGGATGCTTTTGTGAAGTGCATTGCAGGTGATACGAAACAGCTGAAACATATCTGCATAATATTTCTCTAATTTCATCTATTAAAAAATCTATTATTCCTTTGTGTAAATGTCTGCACCCCAGGTTTGCAGCATGACAGATCCACTTCCTATGACCAGCGCTGGTAGCTAAGTAATGAGACAGAGTTATGGAGCATGTCTAATTCTTCACAAAGCAGTGAGGAGTTGGCACTTACTCTCTAACTCTAGCTCTCATCAAGAGCAGAGTGGGGGAAGGAGCAGATATTTACTGCCGCAATCTGGCTCTTTTGCTATGCTACGGCTCGATAGCTTTTTTATCTGCTTTTATGACCTTTTATGACCTGCTTTTTTATGACGTCCCTCACATACGGTGTAGATTTTATACTATTCCTCCTCATGTTCATTTAGATAGTAATCGTTTTATCTGGAGAGGAATTGGATGTTGTTGTGTCTGTTATGGAAATGAATGTACGTTAGTTCAGGAACTGTTTTTTCAGACATGAGAATATTTCAGTTGATTCAGTATTGCATAAATGATAAAAATATATTAATCACACCGAAGCTAGATTAAGCACACAAGGGAAGTTCTTTCGTCTTACAAATGCTTTTCATTGATTGTGTCTTATACTTTGTGCTTAAATATCATCGCTGTCATATCAAAACCAAGTAACTCCAATTTTTTGCCTTTTTTTAAAAAAAAAATAAGAAAACACAAGATGCCCTTTACATCGTGAGAGCATTCAAATAGAAACCGTCCAGAGTGACTTGAAATAAAATCTTATTACATTATTATGAATTAAAATAAGAACATTTTTTGCTTCTCCTGTGAGGTTGCCTTTTCAGATATGAGTCTTTCTTATGTAATCATATCATCGTAGTTGGAACCAAATCTTGTATCTTCTTTTGTTATTTTTCAATTTTGGGCCTTAATTCAAAAATGCCAGTTGATGTTTACATTGTGCTAAAATTTTATGATGAACAGACAAATACAAATGGTCCAATTACTTACAATAAAATCTTGTTACATTAACTCTTATTAAAAGTGAAGAACACTTTTACTTCTCCTGTATAGCTACTTTTTTTTGGACATTCAAGGTTTTGTTCCGACAGTAATATGATATGTGCAGTAGTTGCTTTTTTCTGAATTTACTCACGAAAGCAGTAAGCTTTTAATTCTTCATGATTGCCTTTTGTTTGGTAAATCACTGTGGAAGTGTTAGTTGTGTAATATTGCTTGGAGTAGTCTAGGACAGTGTACAACTAAAAACATTATTTTAATCTGAAATGCTGTGAGGGAATCATCTTTACTGTAGTATAAAGCTCTTAGGTAGAAAATGTTCATGTGTTTCTGCGGTAGCTGTTCTTGGCTGTTCAGGTGTTTGGGAGAGGCTCCAGATGCGCTGCAGTGGAATGGGGGGTTGATGAGAATTTAATTTAATCTCCGGCGCCGTTAATTCTCTCTCTCTGGGACTATTGGGCCAAACAGGCCTTCAAGTTAGGCAATTTCGGTGGTGTGATAGGCTCTGCTTCCCAGTGGGACCCTTTACAGCACAGGGCAAAATTAAAGCACTGAGCTCACAGCATTCATTGCTTCATTCATTGCACTGCATGTTTGCTGGTAAGATACACTGCTGTTAACATCACTTGAATACCATGTGACATCTCAAGGGATCGTCTAACTATATTGGTGTAATGAGGGATTTAAAATATAATCCCAAGGTAGTTGAAACTGTAGTGAATTGTTATTTTTAATAGTTCTGTTTGATTTGATGTTAACAAGCGTATAAATATCAGTGCGGCGATTGCTAAATATTTGGGAAAATTTTCGTTTGACCAGGTCAGGGCCTTCCTGCAGCCACCCATGGAGGGGATTGTGCTGGAGACTTATGGAAGTGGTAATGCTCCTGATAACCGTGCAGACCTGCTGGAAGAGTTCCGGAAAGCCACAGAAAGAGGAGTCGTCATGGTCAACTGCACCCAGTGCCTTAGGGGCTCTGTCACCACATCATATGCCACTGGCAAGGTGTGAGCATGCATGGATGTCTATCTGATTTATATGCCAATTTTATGCTCTGTGCTATATTGATATTGTGTTTGTATGTATCAACGTATAATTTCACTTCTTTCTCAGGCTCTGAGTGATGCTGGACTGGTAGCTGGATGTGATATGACTCCAGAAGCTGCTCTGTCTAAACTTTCTTATGTGCTGGCCAGGAAAGACCTTACTACACAAGAGAAGAAGAAGGTAAAGTGTAAAGTCCTTTATTTATTTACTGGCAAAAAAGAGAAACATCCATACTACATATATATGTTGAGACAAAAGCTTGTGCACTTCCTTAACATTAACCAGTTAATTACGGTGTTACGTCCTATATCTGGATGTGCGGGCAGTCTCGCATCCTCTTTGTGCGTCTTACCCCTGGGAGACGTAACATACGGTTCTCCATTCTGCTGCCTTTAATTAACTGGCTCAGGTGTGTTGAAATCTAAAACATGGCTGAAATGTGGACTGTGAGAGGATGCTCGTGGGTTGGGTTGGAGACATCATCTTTATTATATTTTTGTGACATTGATTACATAAAGCCCTGCGATGGACTAGTGACCTGTCCAGGGTGTATCCTGCCTTCCGCCCAATGACAGCTGGGATAGGGCTCCAGCACCCCCTTGCGACCCAGAAGGATAAGCGGTTTCAGAAAATATGTGTGTGTGTGTGATTTACATAAATTTGCAACATAAGTTGATTTGGGCCTTCAGATGTTGAGCCATAACCTGCGTGGTGAGATGATTGCTGACCTGGAGGGGGCCAAGCTGACTCTCAGTGACAGTCGCTTCATTCAGGTCATCGCTAAAACCCTCAGTATCAGCTGCAAAGAGGTGAGACCCCTGAACATGCTTTGAAAAGTGACAGTACTTTACAGGGTACTATACTGTTAGACAATACTCCGTTAGTTTCTCCATTCACGACTACAGGTTGCAGTCTAGTTTTACACTGATAAAGGACTGTTGAAGTTGTGATTGCTGTAAATGTTGGTGTCTGCAGGAGCTGGAAGCCATCCGCGATGCTCTGACCCCCACACTGGCCTGTGCTGCAGCTAAGATTGGTGATACTGAGGCCCTGGAGGCAATCAGGGAGATGGTAAGGTTTTACTACAGGCTCTCTGTCCTGGTTTATAAATGTACCAAAGAGATCCAGTCCTCAGCATTTTGAGGCTGCTTTGGGGCTGCCTCTATCGAACATATCTGATAAAACGTGACCCCTCTCATGTCCTTTCATTCACTCTGCCATTTAGCCTGGAATGGCTCTGCCCTGCCACCATTTCCTCTAAGCATTCTCCTATCTCAAATTAAAGTCCCGAGACCTGTTTTCAGACAAGTTTTCAGACCTGTTTTAGTTCAACAGTTCAGAGACACACCCCTGAAGTGAAGTTTAAGTGTCTCCTGGGTCAGAAAGTGTATTTACCCTCAAGTTAAGAGCTTTTGAAAGCTGTAAGTGAATGGGGCTTTTATCTGGTCTAGGTTTGTAAAACAGGATTCAGCTCAATTTGATTTGTACAAACACTGTAATCACTGTTTGTAGGCTTGTAACCAAAATAGTGTAATTTCAAACTTTCAGCTAAAACAGACAATGGCTGACCTTCGAATATTTTTTGCAAGCCAGTTTACGTCAGTAGGTTACGTCTGAACCAGCCGCGTTATCTCTCAATGAAAACATGACTCTATGCTCATGCTATCCCTAGTTAAACAGAATGAAGGAAACCAAACATGTTTTTGCCTTGTGGAGAGTTCATGTTCAGATAAGTCCTCTCGTGCACTGATGAGATGGCATCTAGCCTGTGTTTGTAAAGACCTGCTACTGATAACCTTGCTCTCCATAGAGCTGCACTTTAGCAATAGATTTTGGCATTAGGAGATCAAGGCTATTAGACCAGTGAGCTATAAATTTAGCCTCAGTCTTAAGCTAAAATGATTGTTTTTCAGTTTTTCCTGCAAGGTTTATATTTGTGTATATTTGTGTATATTTGTGCAAATGAACATTTCTGTAGTGGTAATAGTGAAAATATACACTTTATATACCTTAACCCCTTGAATTCTAGGATTGTTTTATATTTATTTCTATTGAGACATATTGTTCAGTAACTACTATGATCTGCTCTGTAGTGTGTAGCTGTAAGGGTCAGGAATTATCTTTAATTAGTCTGGACCCGATGATGTGTCTTCAATGGTAACATTCTTGCCGTTGATTTTTCTCACAGTGTTTCGTAAAATACTCCAGAAAAAAAGCTGATTATTGTTGGCACTGATTGACTGCCTTTTTCTGCAGGGCAGTAACTTGAGTATGGCAGATTATGATGGGCGAACTCCTCTCCATATTGCAGCCTGCGAGGGTCACCTGAAACTTGTGCAGTATCTGTTGGGCCAAGGAGCCACTGTCTATGCCAAAGATCGCTATGGAGACACGCCCCTCCGAAATGCTATTCGTTTTAGGTAAGACCACACCAGTTTTACAGTATTTTACAGTAAAGTTTACAATAACATACTGTCCTCTTAAATTACAGTATGTTATTGTATTTTGCTATAAATTCTCAAAAATGATGTCCATTCTTGATTGTATTCCGTAAAAGTGCATCCTAAAAATTCCAGAAATCCTTAGAGAAGTGAAATGGGGAAACTAAGAGCATTGTTAAAGAAGATTTAGTGTATATGTGCAATTTCAATGGATTAGGCATAATAAACTCAGCCCACAATTTAATTCGAGTCACAATGCTGGGTTCACTGTTTGATATTCTCACACAATTTGAATGTGAAAAAACATGAGTATAATCATGTTGTTGCACAGCTTATTAACAGCACAGGATGAGGCAGGAGTTTTATGCTTTCTCTACTCTTTATGTGTAAATCATGCAGTGTTACTGTAGATGTACTCTAACAGCAAAATTGCAGTAAAATGGCTATCAGAACAATACTAACTACAACTAAGCTGCCAGTAACTTGCTGTAAACAGCACTTTTTACAGTGTTTTTATATGTAAGTTGTACATTTCAGTGGTTTAATTGTAAACCTGTATTTCTGCATGTGTGTGTAGCGTGTACGATGAAAATAACTGTGTGTTGCTTGTATGTTCGTACTTAAACTTGGGTGTCTGTATGTACCTGTTGGCATGTGTTGCTGAACAGGTACTTGACAGAAAGCGTAGGTGTCAGTGGGTGGGGAAAAAGTGTGTGGGCATCTTGTTCTGCAGGTCTTTTATCACGTACCTACATTTCCTCAGCGCCCTACCGACCTGCGACAGAAAGACTCCATCATTTCAACTGACCCCTTTTACAGGGCGCCATTTTTAGTCAATGAATGGCTGAATGTATTTTCAGTAAAATATCCTGGTGAGGTGTCTGATGCTTAATTCATATTGAAAATGTTTCTGCAATTTGGAATATCACCTCTCTGTGACTGTCTAATCTTGTACAATGGAGCACATCATCATGGTTAGAAAAACGATTATGCTTAGAGTCAGGGTTGCTCTTCTGAGCTGATGTGTATCCGGAAAGGCTATCATTATCAATTACATTAGTAATCTGGGTATTATTCTGATGATGAATTGAGTAATCAGAGTTCTTGAAAAAGGCCAAAAATAAAAACTTAACCCATTGATAACATAACATGTATAGTGTTTCAAAAATAGATGGTGCTGATCTGATACCACATATCATTATTGGGCCAATATCAGCAGAAAAGGCTGGATTGGATATTATATGGAAAAGAAGAACTAAGTCTTGTCACAAATCAAACCTGAAATAGCACAGACTCACATTGCATGATGTGATGCTGTTAGCTGTGTATTTTCTCCTGTTGGGTTATAGAGTGTTTGAGTATTTTAACATGATAGCCTACTTTTAGATGCTCTTAATTGCTTCAATTAAGGTTTCGGTATCTGAATTGGTAAAGAAAAATTTGTGTTGTTCCATAACTACCAAGATTTCAAAATGCCTCATTGGAAAAATTAGGAAGCCTTTAAAAAGACTTACGTAAAAATTCATATAAATGGTGTCCATCAGGCTCTTTTTCTTACTGGAAAAGAAAGTAAAACATTATCATTGTGTGAGTAATTACTGCCAATTTATTGAGAAGGAAGAATTTAATGGATTTTTTAAGCAAGTAATCAAGTTTAAAGGGATGGTTTGCCAGAACACTTTTCTCTTACCCCTAGATTTAGTCGACCACCTGAGACATGTTTGTTGACCAAATTTCTGTTTGCATTCACAGTCCATCTGAGGTGTAGCAGTGCTGATCTACAGTCAACCTTTGTGACAATGATCATCATAAATATGGAGCAATCTGATAAAAGATTTTTCAAATTTACAGTGTTTTTGTTCATTTTTATAGTTCACAGTAGGTCGCACTGCATCCAAAACCACATTGACTAGTCTGTATGACTTAACTAAAACCTGGATGTAGGTTAAGCGAATTGAGGGACGTTTTGGTGGTGTATTTTTAGGGAAAAGATATGGGCTAATTTGGTGAGAATTCAGTTCTAGTTCATTTGATAGCAACATTAGCCTTGCAGCTCCAGTTCTAAACCAAAGAAGCAAAATTTGGACTCCAAAGTCCTGACTAATTGACCAAATCTAGAATTAAGTGGAAGGTTGTGTAATAATTTTTTTCCTTTAATCAGTTTACTATCTGGCTTAAAACATATGTATAATTAAAAAAAAAAATTTAATTATTAGCTGAAAGTTTGGCAGTTAGGATACAGAGATGCAGAAAGTTTTTTTAAGATCGCAGGAGGCTGTCTTGCTTCTGTGGAGCTCATCTGTCCCTGTTCTGTGTGATCCACAACCTTAGTGTTTGCTTCTCACTCTACAATTTCTCCAGATATAAACGTTAGATGTATATCTGGCCTCATTCCACTGTATGTGCATGTGGAGTGCACTATCCTAATAGCCGTGGCGTGGTCTGTCGAGCACACCAAATGATAGTTAGATTCAGGAAACTAGGACAGAATCTCTTTTGCCTTCATTTTCTCCATCCCCCGTAGACTATCAGCAGTCTCTTCGCATCTCATAGCCTCTCTCTGTGGAGACGTAACATACAAACAGACCAGGATGAGATGTCAACCTCATTAAGGGAGATGGAGAAGAGGAGGTCTAACTAAATTACAGTTGTGTACCACGGGAATGAGTGTGTGCACGTGTGCATTTGTGTGTATGAAGGAATTAGAGATGCTGTTTAAAGGCCTTGACAACAATTATCATTTAATTAGAGTAATCATGAGACACACAGATTCACTGGTGCTTATTTTTACTCCAGCTGTTATATTTTAGTGGTATTCAGAGACATTGGACACATTTCCGGTCCTGAGGGAGTGGCTGAATTCTCCGGGCTGCAGTTTCGATGTCCTTTGTTAAATTAATGTGTGTCCTTGGTTTGTGGTAGCAATGCTTGCTGCGTCTCTTAATGTACTTGTTGTCTTGCAAGCTCATTTTTATAAACAACAACACAAAAACTACCATTTTTAGTTCTGGTCTGAAAGCAGTGTATAATTATCCAATGTAGCCTGAGCTACTGTAAACTGAAACTCTAGATCAACAGTCAGGGGCAGCGTCTGTCATTAAAACCTTCTGAAAAGATCAATTTGAAGACTCTCCCCTTTCACTAAGTGTAAAAAGAACAAGAAATGGTGTCGTGTTCCTACAAGGAAGAAAAAACAGGTGAAAAAAAAATAGGTGTGTTATCTAAACCAGCCCTACCTGCTACTCTCTTGATGGCTGACAGATACTATGACTACTTCAAGTAGAACCAACTGGATATTCAACAGCCTCTAGTTTTGTCAGTGATTTACGGGGAAACAGGCATGGTAGGGTAGGGCAAAAGTGTGGTCAAACGTACCCGAAATACATTACAGAAGGACCACACCTGCCATTATGTCACACAGCTTATTATTATACAGCTAAATAGTCATTGAAACCTGGCTTGAGAGGCGTAGCTTTCGCCCTGTAACATAGTTGAATACATATTAGTGATCAGTGATTTTATATGCTTTTTGTTCCCTTCAGTTCTACCAACACTATCTTGACATAATCGTCTATGACCAGTATACTGAACTGTAGGGACTCTGTCATTGAGCCTTGTGTAAGATGTGTGTTGTTTTGGGAGATTAAGTGACGATGCCCCAACTTGTCTCAGCCTGTCTGGACCATTACAGTCACCCTTGTGTTGTAAACCTGTGCCAACAGTTGCTAAGTGCACGGCTGACTCAAGCACTGAATGCACTGCTTTCGGTTGAGTTTGTGGTATCAGGAATGAACTGGATTTTTTTCCTTGATTTAATAACATAACTTAGTGTTGATTGTACTGTAGTTAATAGTGACGTATACTGCTCTTTAAAATAAACTGCCCATGCTTTGCCCTGTGGTAATAACACTATATATATATATATATATATATATATATATAAATGTAAAATTTGATGTCATTTGTACACATCACCTGTCCTTAAAATTAAAATTTTCCATCTCCATAAATGCTCCAAAATCAGTTGGAATAAAGCCTCTTAGCATTAACTTACATTGAAAGTTAAGAATGTTTTGCCCTTTCCTGTAAAGGTAATATTTTGGAGCTACATATTTTACTTTGGACAGATACATATTTATATATGGTCATTTTACAGCAGATAGAAAAAAGGTACAGGAGATGGAAAAGTCTAAACATGTCTTTCCTTCATGAAATTTATGCACAATTCAAAGGAAGGTTTAAATTTTAAGTTTTAAATTATAGAAAAAAGTAAAAAACAACAAAACATTTTGCATGACAGTAACGATATATATTTTATTTTTTAATTGTAGGTCATTGAAATAAGCAGAGTGATTCTGTCGGAAGTGCAGTTTCCAAACTTTCATTCAGTATCATTCTAAATTCACCATCAACACCATTTGTGTTTCGAAATACAAATTATATAATGATTTAAATTTGATAAAAAGTCATTGTTGTACACTGTCTTGCGGAAAAAGAAAACATCCTTTACATTTTTATTCTGTTTTCGTCATTGTTTGATATCGAAACAACCCTAAAAAGTCAAGTGATGACTCAAACCCATGGAGACAGAGTGTAAGTGGATTTCATTTTCCAGCCAGCTATATAATAAAGTATCTGATTCTGTAGTTACATGGCAAATCAAATTTATAGCAAAACAATTCTAATTCTAGTCTTTATGAATTAATTGTTCGTATGATAGTACTGGGTGCGAAACTCACTATGTCAAAGAGGATGTTGAGTCACAGGCAAAGCAAGTTATTCTCTGACCAAATTTACCCCACAGGCCACAGCTTCAGCAGCTATACTATTGGTCAGTACTACTTTGGCCTGTACATTGCATTATATAATCAATTTTCCTCTTTCTCATCTTTCTCACAGACATAAAGATATTGTGAAGCTCCTGAGAAAAACCGGTGCCCATCTTTCTTGGGATGAAATGGAAGATGCTGGAACTGAACTATGCAGGTGACACACAGACACCCCCCTCCATTCTTGTCTTGTGCACCATTCACGCAGGTCTGACCAGTCATTCAAGGCCTTCACGAGTTTTTAGAATGTTCCCCAACTGCATTACATTGAGACAAGAGATATATGTGTGGTATTTAACTCTTGAAGTAAACACAAGAGTTACACAACATTATTTCCTTATTCATATAATCTATTTATATTGTCAAAGACATTGTTACACCGGTCATTATGTCATCTTGTCATCTTGTCAATACCAGTGTCCATATCCTACTGATCGGAAGAGTTATTGAGGCAGTAGTGGCATGACATGAACAAGTTTATTAGAGGTGTCCAGGGTAATAGGCCTGTATACTGATAAGCTAGAGCAGCTCAAATGACTGTTTAACCTCTGCTCATGTCAGTGTTTTATGGGTGCAGATACAGTGGGTCACGTGTATTTGTGTACGTTTGTGTATGTGCACCCTTAGGCTGGCAGCATGCGCAGACTTGGAGGGTCTGGAGGTTTGGCATCTAGCTGGTGCTGATATGACCATGTCAAGTTACAGTGGGCAGTTGCCCATAGAGGTGGTAAGTATATGTGGACAGCTTGCAAACATCTGATGTAACCCATGGGTTAAAAATCAACTGGGAAAACCTTGTAAATTTTGTTTCCCAGTCATGTAAACAAACTGGAAAATAAGAAAATTTATTAGTAAAGTCTTGGATAAGTATGAAGTTGGGCCAATAAGCCATCAAAGTGATATTTACTCGCATATTTTAGCTACTAATGCCCCGTTTGAGTGTCTGTTCACTGTGGTTTTGGAATACTGCAGACAGTGAATGCTGCAATGAAATGTCTAGTTGAGTGAAATGACAGGCCACTTCTAATATTTTAGTAGAACTTAGGATCAAATGATGGTTGGTGGTGTAAGTAAGGGGTCATTAGGGGTAGGTGTGGGCAATATGACAATATTGCAGTAAATTATGTCACAGTATCCCTTTTGGAGCATATTATTGATAAAGAACAACTGGATAATAGTATTTTGTAAAGGTGGCACTACTGATGCATTTTGAAACTCTTCCAACTTATAAAGAAATAAAAAACTGAGAAAAACTGAAACTCAGAAAAACTGAAATACTGTGATCAGGGAGTTTGTTGTTGACTTTTAAGTTGAGAATGTCAGCAGCTGTGCATTATTTAAAAATAACCGTGAGCAACAGCTGTCGTGTACTGAAGTAATTATCCTGGAATTTGACCTGGCGAAGTCTTGGAAAATTATTTCCTAAAAAATAATAAAGGGAACCCTGTGAGTACTTCATGATCCATCGTGTCGTATATCAATCCATACAATTTTCTATTCCATGTACAGAGAACAGCAATAACATACCTCCCAAAATTTTTAGTGCCAGTGTCATACAAAACATATAATGTGGTACATTGATAAATATGTTATGCCTGTATGCCCTGACATTGCTTTTCTGGATGTTCTCATTTGACCTGATGTTTATGCTTCTCAGGCCATGCAGTCAGGCAGTGAGGAGGTGGTTCAGTTTCTCCAGTGGGCTGCTCAGTATCAACCTCAGGTAGAGATCAAAAACACACACGCGTACAGAACACACAACAGCGTGACTTGGCTTGTACACGCCACTTTCAGACAGATTAAAATGGGGCTTAGCAATAGCAAGCAATTTATTTGTTTATTCATCTCTTTGCTCCCACTCTACACTTTTCAGCCTCAGACAGATGAGGGTAATGAGGTAAAAACTGTTTATTTTGTAGACATTTCTCTGTGGATTATAAACATCCATTATCATTTCCGTGCTTTTAGTTGAACTACAGTCACAATTGCATGATTACAAGAAATAAAGATATCTTTAGAACTGCCCAAAGGCACAGCTCACTTGAATACAATTAAAAGTAGATTTTATGGACATAATTCGAATGTCAGAAAGGCTGTGATGACAGACATAATAAGGAGTTATCCTTTATAAAGCTGCAGAGGCTCTGTTCTATGAATGAATCAATACGGGTGTTCACTCATGTCCAGGTGTTGTGGCATGTGCTGCTCTCTGCTTGCTTTGTGTTTTCTTGACTCTCAATGACTGTTCCTTATTTTGCAGCCAGTTTTTGATGAAACTGAAGAGGTACATTATGGTTTGGTTTGTGCCTGATGTAACTAGTGTTACACATTTAAAGACACAATCAGGGATGTTCAAAACTGTTTTTGTTCCACTGTTTGCAGAGAATACGAAAACATTTCAAGCCTGGTGTTTTCTTGCCTTTTGAGTTTAGGAGGGAATCCTGCCCAAGCCCATTCCTGTAGCCCATGAACTGCTGCTTTGTTGGGCCAAAATCCCTGATTGGGGTTGAAACATGAGCACTTAGATTTAACTGTATTGGCTTTTGGCTCCTTAAACACGCTGTGATTGTGGTGACTGTGATTTAGTTGATTAGTGCACTTTGTATTACTCAGCCCTTGTTCTCCTGTTGTTACAATGCAGTGTACTTTTAACCCCATAACATCCCAGGATTTTACATACAAAGGCTTGTTATTCAGTAACTTATTCAGTAAGTTATTCAGCATGGCATGAAATACAGTAACTAAAAGAATGACATACTATATGCTTAAAGATTTTGGAAAGATCAGTTAAAATGTTTGGTTGCACTGGATTATGTGGTTTAATGGCAAAGTATGTGCAGGCCTAATTATTTGAAACTCTGGAAATAATGATTTGATATGGAGAGGAACTCTAGATGTGTCTGCCCTTATACCTAAAGCAAAGCAGAATTCCTATACATTAATGCTTATTAGAGGCATTAAGGGATAGATGAACTGTTTTTCAACACAGACTTTATTCAAATTGTTGTTTTGAATCATATTCATTGTCCGTAGCACATGATTTTATTGATCACTTCAAGAAACTTGAGTTTCTCTGTGGGCTTAACACATTTAATACGTAGCACTGGGCTTTATAGGCATTTGCACCTTCAAAAATCAATGTAAATCATATTAAAAATGTGTCTGGGTTGAAAAACTGTGAACCTAATATTTAATTTTTTCCACTGAGATGAACAGTTATTTGCTATGCCATCAATTGTCTAAGGAGCTGAATACATCCATATTTGTATTATTTTTTCCTAATTTATGTTATTCTTTTTTTCTCTAGAATGGTGAATTCAAGTTCGCTGCATGTCCATAGAAATCCTGAAGAGACAATCCTTCTATACCAGTGACTTCCTGCCATTTCCGTTCTTCTGTTTCAGTTTCTCCTTTAATCATTTTTTTATAAATAATCTGACGTATCATTTTAAATTGATACCTTTTATTTTAAAAAGCCATTATCATTATCTTGTCTATGGGTCGTCCATGTTAGTGTTAAGCACACAAATGTGAATGTACTGCGATATTGACAGTGGAGAATTAGGCAGCACAAGTGTGACTGCACAGTGTGCTGTACTGACATCAAATCAGTGTTAGAGAGCAATAAAGTGTTTTTTGTCCAAAATCATTTGACTCACACAGGGGGATGCAATATTTAAATGTTTAGAAAGTTTGTGTTAATGATCTGTTCCAGTTCAAAAGTGCTATTGTATTCAAATGTTGATTATTGTATAGCTCATAATACAGTTATGATGTCGTAAATATGGTTGATTTCTGTGGCAAATATTGTGATTTGCACTAGATGGTTACAGCTGCCCACCATGTGTCTGTATACCATCAGTTAATGTGAACTGCCACAGAATGTCTTGAGCAATATCACTGTTACATACATGTTTTTGAGAATGTTTCTCAAATCCCTACCTTGTAAAATTAAATCACAGTATTTTATCAATAATTATTCACTTTCACCTCACACTAACGTGCAAAAGTGCTAGATGTAAACTGATTTATTTATTCATGTTGTGTCCTCCCACTCACTTCACTACTGAATGTTATCCTGCGTACCAAATCATGAAGACATGTAAGATGTTCTCATGTAATGCATCGGAAGATGCGTATCATTGTGTAAATGCAAATGCTGTAGAGCTGTGTGAAAATTGTGTAATAGTACAGTGTCTCATTTGTTTAAACATTGAAAACACAATCTTATTGTATGTAAATGAGACTATGAATGCTGCATATTATCATATTAGTCAACATTAAAGCTTTAAAAGGGTTGTGTTGAAGTATATCAGTCTGATTGCATTTTACTTTAAAACATTTGACATTAGTTTGTACCTTTATGCTTTACTGTATCTTCATACTCATACTCAACTGTCTTTATCTTTTAGGTGCCTTTAGACTCAACTTGATGACCCTTTAGTTTCTGAAATGTTTCATGATTTCAGAGTAAGCCAAATAAAAGCACAAGGCAGCAGACAATGAATCATATGTATTATTATTATTATTATTATTGCTATTATTTGGGAATATATGTGTATATGTGTGTTGTCTGTAAGATGGAGAGATATATTTCTGTATGTTCTTGCTGTTTAATGTAAGGTACAAGCACAAAGATGGAATTAAACATTTTCATCATAATCGTTATCTTTGTTTCATTTAATCAAATTTTATTTTGGAGAAAAAATGCCTTAAACAACTACCAACATCCAGAAAGCAATCAAACAGTGAAGAATAATCCTGTTACTTTTGTACTTTTCTTCATTACATTACAATTTGCCTTATCATCAGAAAATATTACACTTAAGCCTTTAAAAAAGGGATGAAAGTAATTTTTAAATGCCGCCTTTTATTTTTCAAAGGTCCTGTAATCTGCAGGCTCTGAGCTGATTGTAGGGAGCCAGAAGCTTCGTCTGCTCAGATCTGAGCCCATGTAGATGCTCTGTTCTCTATTTTCCCAAGCTCAGGCTGTGTAATCCCTCAGTGAAATGACAACTAAACAAAAACAAAACAACTTACTACAAGTATTAAAGATACATGTATATATGTATATATGACGTTCACTGCAAAATGCTGTATAATAATTTGTAACAAGAGGTTATATATTATGTGCTTTGTCAAGAAAGCGCATTTTATTTCTCTAGTAAAGGTGGTATTTACCATAATATAACATTGATATTTCTTGTATAAAAAGCCCACTAAAGTGAAAAAAAAAAATGAAGTGGTATGTATTGCATTTTGGAATGTATACTACACAACACTTATATTCTACACACATACCGCCAGGTTGCCATGAGAAGAGGTTTTTAAATGGTTAAACAAACTTATAAATAAAATAAAATTACTTTTATATTACATATACTTTCAGTATTATTATACTATATCATGGTATAAATATTATTTGCATTTACTGTAATATTAATGACCAAATAAATATATGTAGTTATGTAATAATGTTTTAGTGTAGTAATGTGGGATTGTTATAGTGTAACAGTGTAATAGTACAGTCATATAATTATTTAGTAATGTAATGTAAAAATGTGTAGCAGTATAATAGTGTGATAAACATGTAATAGTCTTTATTGTATTGTAATGATATATTAGTGTATCAGTGTAGTTGTTAATGTAGTGCTGTAATAGTGGAATAGTCAATTAGTGTATCAGTATAGTAGTGTAATTGTGTACTACTGTATTGTGTTGTAGTAGTGTAACATGTGTATAGTGTAGTAGTCTAAAAATGTAGTACTATTATAATAGTCTATTAGTGTCATAATGTAATAGTCTGTTAGTGTGTCAGCATAGCACTGTAATAGTGTAGCACTGTATTATGTACAGTGTAGTAGTATAATAGTGTAATAGTCTATTAGTGTATCAGTCTATTAGTGTAATAGTGTAGCACTGTATTGTGTAAAATGTAGGAGTGTAATAGTGTAGTGGTGTCGTAGTGTAGCACACTAACGTGTAAAGTGTAGTGGTGTAACAAAGTTGTGCAGCAGTTGTAGTGTTGAAGGTCTGGAACCCAGTGGAGCCGGTCAGACCTGCATGGCCTTCATTCCAGCCTGAATGAAAAGGCTTGTGTGAACAGTCCCCTCCGCTCTCAGTATAAAAACACACCGCGGCCCCGACAGTGTGTATGTCGTCGGGGAGAAGCAGCTCGGAACACACTTCCCTCTCAGTGCTTCACTCACTCTTCGCTGTCTTAATTTTCCGACCATGGAAGTGAAAGGTGGAGCGGGATGGCGCTGGACTGGAGCTCTGTGGGGTAAGACCGCGCTGTTCGGCTCCAGACCAGTCTCTCTGATGCAGTGGTTCTCAACAGTTCAACAGTTCTGTCTCAAAATTGTGAAATGTTTAGGACCACTTGATCAGGCAGACGCTTTCTCTGGTGCAGGGACGGAGGAGGAAAGAAGAACTGCTGCTTCTTAACTGTGAAACAGGCCGAGCTCGTTCTGTATGTAGTCTTGCTAAAGGCGTTTTAACCTACAGCTCCTGAAAAAGCGAACATTTCAACACTATTGTGCTGCTAAAGATGTAATCAGTTTCTTTCAGTTGGATGACTTTAACAAAACTGTTCTTGGAAACTTAATGAGAAGTTGATGCTTGATTTTTTGTAGTTGAATTTTTGGAAATAAAAGTGGTTGGTTGCAGAAAACTAAGTTTGAGCGTGTTTTGCATCTCTCTCTCTCTCTCTCTCTCTCTCTCTCTCTCTCTCTCTCTCTCGCTCCATTATTATTGTGGGTAATGGGAGGATGGGGTAGTTTAAAGTGTTCCATTTTTTTAAAAGGTAAGCTGATGTATTAAAGGTGTAAGTATCTCTCTCTCTCTCTCTCTCTCTCTCTAATGCCCCCTTGTGTTACAGAACAACGAATCTTTTGTGTTCGCTCGTTTACTTCATTCATTCTGGCTTCCCAGCCTCGTGTCAGAGTTGCTCACTCCTGTCCGGAGTCTTTCTCTTTTTAGAAGAATAGAGCAGAATCAGTTTATCTTTTTTCTGAAGAAGTTCTCGCAGCGCCGGCGCTCTCCGTGGTGCTGAACACCTCCGCCATCCTCCATTCATTCCCTCACTGCTCACTGTCCTCATCTGCTTTGCCGTTCCCTTGTTCAGATGCTCTATGGTCCGATATTGTCTCACAGAAGCTTGTTATAGGCTTGGCAAATATGAGGCGAGGGCAAACGCTCTCAACGACAAATCAATAAGTGCGATTATTACACTAAACCACCTTCATTAGTTGTGTTAAAAATCTGAACAATGATCCGACTCATTAGCAAAGCCGCTGAGTGACACAGGCCATGCAGACATCACCACACACCAAACACCCTGAGGCAGTGTGCAAATATCGAGCCATTAGTGAGCAAATCCTCTGGATTATGTGGCTCTCAGGACACCATAGACACAGAGACAGCGGGGGACACTGAAGGGACTTCTCATGAATTGTAAATAAGGGCTGAAATTCAAATAAGATTGATTTGGAAACAAATGACAAAACAGCAAATGTCGTATTCGACCTTAAATGGCCTGCTTTCGGTATTATCAATATTAGAAGTGTGAAATAAAACACTTTTTGAAGCCACTTTAGACAGCAGCTCATCAGTTTGCCCCTGTATGAGCCCATTTGCTGCAGGCAAAACAGTTTTTCTAGTTAAATGATTGCATCCAGACCTCATCCCATCAAAAACCATTTAAGAGCCAATTTGGTGAGACATAATTTTGCGAACCAGTTTATTTTCGACAGCCTTTTATAAAAGAGGCAGTTCATTTTGAGAGAGGCAAAGTGAAATAACATTGTCTGGATTTGAAAATTAAATCTCCACCGAGCACCGTTCTAATCCTGCGCTGAACTCACATTTCCAGTGTCTCCTCATAAATTATTCATAAGCCCACAATCCAATCGGTCCCTGTCTGTATTCCCGGTAAGGCTTGGCTTTCTCTCCGCTTGATCTCAGCGGTGCTCCTAAACAGCGCCAATATTTGCTAACTGCTCCTTGTTGGCCCCCACCGGCGCAGCGTGTCCAGGCAGGAGGATGAAGATGCTTCAGCTCTTAATGAGGAGCCTGCAGCAATTTGCCTACATGCAGCAGGGCAGCAGGGTGGCAGATGCGGGGTGGCTGTCCCCTGAGTCCATCGTCAGCGTGTCCGGGTGAAGCTGCCTGCCCTTTACAGCACACACCCAGTGTGCACGTGCTCAATCACCTTTACGACGGATTGTAATCATCAGGTCCTAAAACACGGATGTATATGAGTGCCCACCCACCTATATATATATATATATATATGTGTGTGTGTGTGTGCGTGTGTGTACCCATTCACACATACATATGTACACGTGTGTTTTTATACAGTGCCATATATATATAACCCCCCCAATAACCCCACGTTGGCGTGTTGTGTGAAACCAAACCTATGTGTGCTTTACTCATACCCATAGTCCTATAGTTGACAAATTTACAGTCTTCCAAACAGGACCTCCTTCTGCAGTAATGCTGAAATGGTCAGGTTTCCTGGCTTCATGGTGGTTCTCACTGCCTCCATCAGGCCACAGAGGCGAGTTTATTGAGGCTCTAATGGCCACCTGCTTATCTACAGCCAAGGCCTCTGTGGACACCAGATAAGATTTTTATTAAGAGTCTCACAGTAATGTCCTGTGTTCAGCTCACAAAGGGCATCATCTCACCGACTTCATGTAACATAATAATGCTGAAATTTAGGCAGCACATTGTGTCTAGCCTGAGTGTCCAGAGAATGGCATGGGATAATCCTCAAAATTAAAGCACCCATCTCCCACACTACCTTTATATTTTATTTTTCCCTCTGAGGTCCACTCATAATGTTTGTGCAGGTTTGTGTACCAAAATATAATTCATTTTCCAAACCTCTCTTTATCCCTTAGAAATAAACAGGCTGTGCCTTTAAGACTGAGGTATGGTCTCTATCCCGACAAAACATTGTATCTCTGAAATGGAGAAAAAGGAAAAACTGTTCTTAGCTTCGAAGAGAAGTTAGTGGAGTTAGGGCAGCTGCTATTTTCACATTCTGTGGGAAAAAAATGCTCCTCATTCAAAGGTTGAAACACTGCTTATTACTTCAGTGTGAATGGGCGGGGCTAAAATGCTGAAGGTTGAACAGCGACTATATGCAAATATGATCACAAACGGTGATTTCAAAATACGCGTTTTTTTCAGCTTACTTTCCATATAAAATCTATGGGTAGAGCGTTTTACATCTTTAACAGAATGTTTACGCTACATCAAACTCTTTTATTAAAAAGGGCAAGGAAATGTCAGGTTTGCACAATATGGGCCCTGTAAGCCATATTACACCACAACTCCACATTAAAGGTGGCAATGGTCATTTTCAAACCTTGGGACCAAAGCTGAAGTAATGAGAGCTAAACATGAACCCACCGACCAAAATCACATCAGCTACTGCAGCAGGTTAACTGTGAGCTGTAATGAGGAGTCAAGATACCCAGCGTGCATTTCTCTGGGTTCATGCTTCAGTCGGGGCTCCGTGTGTCTGTGTGGCTCTAGGGGACACCTGCGCGCACGCGGAGTGCTGCGAGTTTAATTGAGGATTCGCGCGTGCACCGCTCAGCAGCGCGAGCGCAGAAGCCAACAAAAGCTTTCAGCGCGCGCAAGGAGACTGTCGTGGAGCTGAGGAGTGAGAGCACACGCGCACGGAGAAGGAGGAGAGAGAGAGAGAGAGAGAGAGAGAGAGAGAGGAGAGAGAGAGAGAGAGAGAGAGAGAGAAAAGGAGGGAGAAGGAGAAAGACAGAGAAAGAGAAATAGAGAGAGAAAGAGAACGTAACCACCCTATTAATTTTAATCTTCCTATTATTATTTTAATATTATTATTCTTATTCCAGCTACATTGTTGATTGTACAGAGTTAGTCATTTTAATGATTAAATGCTTTACAGACTCTAAATTGTTTCATTTTTTACTGTAATATTCTTTAATCTTCTTCAACTTAGTACCTGCAGCTTTTGGCAATCCACATGTGTCGTTACTTTCGCGTTCAAGGAGATAGAGCAGTCTGAACTGAATTGGAGAGAGAGAGAGAGAGAGAGAGAGAGAGAGAGAGAGAGAGAGAGAGGAGAGAGAGAGAGAGAGAGAGAGGGTCGTGGTGGTTTGTGGCGAGGCGGGCAGTGTGCGTGAGTGTGTGTGGATGGAGCAGTGAGGGGTCTCTCTCTCTCTGTGGTGGGATGTGTATAGGGGTTCACAGGGCTCGGATTACGGCTGGGTTTGATGGGCTCGGTGCTGATTCGGAGACACCTGTGCACGCTGGAATTAATCACTTTGGAGATGAGCGGTCACTGCGCGCACGCGGGCTGCTGAGAGGGGAACCTCACTGAGGAACAACAGAGCGCTCCAGTCAGACAGAGGATGGGAAATGTGCAATGTGTGATGTGAGATGCCTCCTCGGAGCCAAACACACACCGCTTCACCGCGTCTGCCGTAACCAGGCTGAGGAACAGCGATCCTGGGCTTGAACCATGGACCTCCACCCTTCAGAGGAGCCGTCCGGACCGGTCAGAGGCAGCGGGAACCTCGCCGAACTGGGCACTTTCTTCGTGGACTCAGACGTCATTTTTGGATTCACCAGGCATCTTCTGAGGAGAAAAGCTAAGGTGAGGGAGCCAGACGGGGCACGGCGCTCCACAAGTTGATCAGACCCTACAAATAGATATTCGTATGATCATCATTCCAGTCATTTAGTACAGAGAAAACTCAGCAGGTATGGACTTTTTAGGCTACCTCAAAACAAAACGCAATTTCAGTTAATGTTGACGGTTTTAAACCAAACGTCACTGGTTCATTTTTTGAGTGAGCGCGTGACACTTTGGGCGTGAATTTCAGCCTAGACAGGTGCAGCCTGGGGACCGTTATCTGTTATCTGGCCGTTTTTTGCTCTGCTCTGCTTAGAACAGAAAGACCCCTGCTGTTGTGGAGACCACCTTTCAGGGGTAGCAAGTGGTGCAAACGGAGCAGGGGATGATCTCCAGGCAGTTAAAGTGACCAGCATCAGAGTGTAGAGCCGCTCTGAGCGCGACTGGGCTCAGTGAGCACATGGTCAGTACTGAACAGCGACAGCTCGTGCGCTTCAGTTCAGATTGCAGCACGACCAGCCCAACGTGTCAGCCACCGTAACTGACTTAGAAGAGCCAATTACGAGAAAGTTTTATTTGCGCGATGTATAGGTGGACACAGAAGCGATCATCAGGTGTAATCAGTGGACTGGACTGGCCACTGGCTCTGTTCATGGAGGAGAAGCATCATGTTTTTACTGACAGGGTTTATCACAAACACTAACATTTTCTCTTTGATCTGGGTTTACAGGCTTCTGTTCCGATTTAACAATTTCTGTACACTCTTCGAAAACAATAGTGTTCTTTGAGTCCTAACAGTAATGGGACTTTTGGTGCTGTATACAACCATTAAAAAGGGTTCTTTTAAGAACCATATACAACTGGTTTTCCATCATAAAAACCATTTGACCATGCAAAGAACCATTTATGCCTTCAAAAAGTTCTTTTAGTGTTCATCGTTCTGTATAGAACCATTGCCTTTACTGAAGAACCCTTGAAGAACCATTGTTTTTAAGAGTGTCGCAGTAAAAAACTTCACGATTAAGTCTACCAATTACTTTTTGTTTTTAAAAGGTAGGAACATTGATAAAACTCGTGTATTGTTCTTTAGGTAATATCCCCACAAACACTGATTTGATGATATCGTGTAATCAGGCTGCTTGCGTTGTGTGCTGCTGGTGAGTTCATTACCTATTGATGTTCACAGTCTCTGACTAGTAGACAAAGAGAAGTGGGTCATATGAGGTGGGGACCAGCATTTGGGCTGTGACTCCAGTGCTTACATCACCACATCAAATATTTAGATATGAATAATTAAATATTTAAAATTACGAGAGTTTTTTTTTTCCCAAGCATGGACGCGAGTTGTAATTGGCAGGAGTCGCCAGAGGGTGGCGCCAGAGTAATAAGAAAAACGCCCCAGACAGCCCTTTCAGTCGCAGCAGCAACACGGTCCCAACACTCACGAACAGGATGACATCATTTGTGTCCAACATGAGTCCATTTATAATTGAGCGCAGTTTATAATTGTACAAGTTACACCATAAAAGTTAAATGAGATGAATGGCTATGGGAGAAATGTGGGGTAAAGAAGCCCTGGGCAAAATAGTACAGCTATCATCTGATCTAGTGAACAGAGTTAAATGTATTTGTAGTTTTTTATCCCTCATTCAATCTATAAAGCCGTTTAAATCATCCTCTCGTAAGTATATGGTTTAGATGTGTTTCTTCAAGGCTGCTAAAGTCCCTGAATGAGGCTTGGTTCATTTCCCCTCGTTTGGCTACTTCTGAGAGGCTTTAAACAGTAGAGCAGCCACACCCCTTCAGCTCTGCTACATGCTGAGTGTAGGCTAACTTCAGCTCAGCTCTACACGGCGCCATGGCGCTAACACCAGGCACAACTTCTCTATGGGGACTTCAGCAGGCTTTCCTCCCTCCAGCACTCACGCTCCTAACCAGCGAATAGGGCGTAAAGTTCATTTTAAAGGAAAACGAGTGGTGTTCGCCTGCTGAGGCTCACTTTTATGACTTTTTCCAAGCGAGATGAATCCAAGTCAGGGGATTACTGCTCAAGGAGAGTCCGAGAACAAGCGCCTCACCGTAAGTTACAGCCCGGAGCGTGTTTTTAGATAACTTAGACCTTGCTGTCTAGTGAACTGGTGGTCTGCACACTTTGCAGCGCCTGTGGGCACGATGTTGCATCGGTACCTTCAGGACCCTCTGAAGTGTATGGCTACGGAAAAGCGCAGTTTTTCTTTGAGTGAGCACTTTTTTCTCTTTCATTTGCAAGGTTGAGGGTTGTTCCAGTGCAGAGTCCTCCTGCTCTCCTGAAGGGAGTCCGAGAAAGAGGAGGAATTCAGCTGAGGAGGAGAGATGCAGCCCCCGGCCTCCCCCTGAGGGCGCGGGCTCTGAGAGAGAGCCCACCAAAACGCACCTGTGCACGCACTGTCACATCGTTGTATCTGAGCTGAAGAGGCAGGCCCTAGCCCTGACCGACTCTGCTTCACTCAAGGTCAGTCTCCAGCATTTAGAAATAACTTTTCTTTCTGCTTGGTCCATCTATCAACCCCCTGTCTAAGTACTGTAAACTCTATAGAGTAAACTCATTTGTAGGGTATCTGAACTGGTTGTCAGCCTTTTGTTGGTCATGTTGCGTTTTGATGAAACGTCATATGGATCTTCATATAGGTGTCATAACCTCTTAAACTCTGACCTTGCTCCTAAAGCTCTGTAGATGGTTCATTTCCATCGTTCCATCGTTTCCTAGGTGTTTATAAAGGAACTAAAGCCAAAGTGCAGACCAACTATTTTTTTTCTCAATAACAGACAGCAGATATCTTAACTCTGGTCCTCATTCACACTTTAATGCACCACTTTAATGCACCACTGAGCTGAGCAAATTCTTGAGCATTGTCTTGAAGACATTCTCTTGCGTTCAAACATGGTGTCATCTCATGTTTAGAGTTTTAATTCTGTCACAAATAAGAAGCAGTTTACCTCAGACCTACTCCGCAGTTCCATCAGCATCTTAGACATGAGCTTTTCGATCATTTATGGCAGGGATTTCCACGTTTGTTTGGCTCAAGGTAAGACTAGTGATTAACTGCAAGAAGCTGTAGTGTGAGGGCTTGAATAATGTGAGAGGCTCCATTAGTTGTGTGGATTGGAATCCCTCACCGCTTGCCAAGGCCACATGTGAATTCCCCCTCATGTACATGATTAGGAGCAATCTGTATAAACAAGAAGAAACCAGGCTGCGAACACAGTCCTCCAGTGTCTCTAAATCATTTAACTTGGTAAGACTTTGGGGCTTGGTAAACTAATGTACTTTCTAAATTGTACTGTACTACATTTGAATGCCATCACAGAGAGCAACATTGTAAACAGTGTGCCCGTCCACTAAGCTGCACCGACCTGCATTGAAACACATGTTAAATGCAAAAACTGCAACATAGGTTAGCTTTTGTCTCTGCTACTTTCACACATGTGAGTAGCGCAAGTGCCAGTGGCTGGGAGTCTGTGGAGTGGAGCACTGTTTGGAAGTGGCCCATTGTTTTGGGAAACAATGCTTATCTCACTCCTTGTCCGTCGACCCTGGTGGGTTGCTGTGGCGGGGCGTGTTGGGGGGGGGGTGAGGTGAGGGGGATAGTCCTAGGTTTGCTGCAGAGTCTGCGGAGGAAACGGACACCCAGTTGACCTTCAGCACGCATTCAAAGTGTTCCTGTATACCCAGCACCAAATTCCCACCGCTGTTAAATATAGGCTAGCGACTCTTTATTGTTGTCTGACTTGCTGCTAAGGCTACCCTCAGGTCCCCTCCATCTCTCCTTTGTAGTGCAGTTTCAGGGGAAGATCTCATGCTTAGGTAGGATTACATGCCCTCCAGCTTGCTTTGACCCCCCCTTCTCCCTTCTCCAGGTTACTGGAGGGGACAGAGGGGGCTTTGTGTGTGTGTTTGTGTAAGTGTGTTTGTGTGTATTCTGTAGTGTCCCACTCTGTGAGCTTTTACCAGGCTAAACAGGACTCAGAGCTTACCTATATCTGCACCCCTTCTCTCCTTACCTTATCTTGTATTGCCGCCCTTCACTGGGTACTGTAGCTGGCTAAGCATGGGAACCGGAATAGAGGGGCTTTTTCTGACTGGCCATCCAGACTGCACTCGTGGTCCTGTGTGGTCTTCTCCAGGTGTGGACATGGAGGAGGGGAGGGGTAAAAGCAGGGGATTATTACTCTATCAGCCCCACTGCTGATGGCCTAATGAGGCCATGGGTGCAATCGCCATGGGAGGCTGCTTTTGGAGGGATCAGTTTCCTCATCTGAAGAGCAGAAAGGATGTATTGTCTGAGTAGAGTTGTGGAGAGCTTACCTGGCCTGAACTTCAAGACCTGGCTGGTGTGTACTTTGCTCTTTAATGCTCACTTCTGAATCAAAACTTTTTGAATGTGAATATTTTGGTATTTTAACAAGTATTTTACTGCTCATATGTTGTTATTTTCACCAGCATTAACATCAGCATCATAATTGACCTGAAATATTACCCTGGTGTGAATCAGTGGACATTAGCTTACCCTAATGATCTGGCCTCAATCCAGTGGTCCAGTGGAGTCTGCTTGAACATTCAAAGAGAGATTGCTTTTGGCTTGAATGATCCTCCTGTGGTGTTTTTGGATTCTGGCAGAGTCCTCAGTGGCGCAGTGGCTGGGATCAGCATAAAGCACTTATTTCATGTTTAATAACCTGCACAGACAAGGAGGACTCTGAGGTCTATCTTTAAAACCCCTGTGTTGGAATTTTCTTTCATTTTCAAAACTAGCAGCAGAGCCAGAGGTGTACCTTTCATTAGCAGCTCTATAACCAGAACGAATGCTCAGTCACTTTGCACCTATGTATGCGAACAGGCTGTAAGGACAAGGGACAGCACATACTCTAAAGAGGTTTGCTATAGTGTCTGGACTGAAATGCATTTAAAAAAGTCTTTAAAGTTGTGGTCTTTCCTCTAACTGTATTCCATACAGATAGGTGACAGTGATGCTCGGTCCAAGAAACGCTTGGTCAGCACCAAAGCTCTGGTGACAGGCCATTTCTTTATAGTCTTCTGCAGGGCACGTGTTCACAGGCAGCAATTAGTCTTTCTTCACACCCCACAGCTTTTAATGGGCCCGTTTTTTCCACAGGGCTTGCCCAGGGTGCCCCCCCCATCCTTTGTTTTATTATTTATTGTCAGCGATTCCTTTGGCTGAAATCTTTGAGGGATGGGCACTTCGTCTCATACAGTGCTGTAGCTCATGCCTCAATAGTTCGTGTGCTTCAATGCCAAGGCACTTGATGCTTTAACAATGGCTGAAGACTTGATGAAATGCCTGGAAGCTTAACACAGAACCATGGGCTGGAGAATACATTGAGAAAAATGACTCAGTATTTCACTTATCAAAAAATCTTAAACACTTAACCCATGACTGTTTTAGCATACTTGACATGACTTCTGAAAGGGTGATTCAAATAGTCAAAGTTATCCTGAAATTGCTGTGCTATAAGTGGAGATTAAGCAGTAAGAAGGAACCTGAGAACTCTATAGCTCAGCCATGGATTCCAGTTGCATTGTGCACTGCAATTATGAGATCTTTCAACAAGACTGAGGAGCCTGGACACCTGGGTTAGAGCAACCCTACCATATGGAAAAGAGCCTTTACCTCTTCTATTGTTGTGGGACAGTACATGGTATCAAATTCTATAAGATGAATTGGTGCTTGGAGGTGGATGGTTTTTCATCGCTATTGTATGAAGAGGAGGTCTGAAGTGGCTGTCATTAATTATAATTGGTCCATGGGTCTACAAGGCCTCTGTTGTGACCAGTAAGACATTTTAAATTCCTTCATGTAGAAGGTTGAAAGCACCTGAATCTCAGGTTGAATGTGACAGGAGATGTTACGAGGGCCTATTTGCCTTTCTTTTCCTTCAGTGGTCCCCTTGAACTTGCTCTAAGCCCTCAGAAAGACTGTTGCAAGCATATGTGTGGATGAAATTGGAAAACAATTTGTTCATTATGAAGACTTATAAAAGATTCTGTGAGTGTATATGAATGTGTGAAGGGGAGGAAATGAGAGAGAAAATAAGGCTGTGCATGAAAGGTCAAGGGGTTTGGTCACTGTGGAACAGAATATCAGGAAAAGAGTAAACTGGGTGGGCTGCCTTTATTAGACTATGTTATGGCACAGCCAGACTATGAACCTTGAAGTCTTAGCCTCAAGCGCTCCGGCCACAGATGTGCATCTGATATCTGCTGCACGCCAAGCTGTCCACAACTATCGGGATTTTGTCAGTTCCATTCAGATTGGCTCTCCCCACATGTGTGCTTTTTTATCTGTCCAGCGAGAAACATGTTTTTGCAACCAGTTGCTCACTCGGCACGCATGCCATTGCAACAGCAAGTCTGTCAGAAGAGGACAAGCCGCTCAGAACATTAAGCTCATTTCCAGTGTTGCTAATTCTATTTTTGGGGTTCACTAGAATAGATTTACATGCTTCAGTGTTCTAATAAGACATTATTGTCTAAAACACTCTGTTGGAGCTCCTGTGTCTTTAAGCCCTGCCTCCCAGCGAGCCCAGTGTGCTCTGATTAATCTGCTCACCCACTCTGTTCTGACTGGTCAGCTACAAGAGTGGTTCCGCCCCTCCAGGTGATGCTTCCATCTTGTAGTCTGCAGATATCCAGTCCTGAATATCAGGTCAACATCTTTTTGACATGGCTACAAAACTGACCAGCTCTTTCTGGTTGCTGTGCATTGTGTGAGGATGTGCCAAGCTTGCCGGTCGGTGGGCAGCAAGTATTGCGTTATGAGATTGCATCATCTTGTAACAACAGAAAAGGGCTGGAATTCCACTGAGATAGAGAGTTACTCCCTCTGGCGGGTACTATGAGCTTTATAACTTTACAGAACGTTTACATACATTAAAAGCTACGTAACACACTACAGGAAAGGTAAAAACCAGGAAAAGCGTACTAGGTCCCCTTTAAACAAGATGTTGTTACGTGTTAGTAGATGCACATTCCGATTTGTTTATAGTGGGTCTGTTTTTGCTGTGTGCCTTTACATGCCAAGGTGAAACAACAGCACTTTCCCATTAAAGTAGGTAGTAGTAACTGTGTTAAACAATGAAATGCACCCAGACTCACTGATGGTAAGCAGAGGTCTGGATTGAGGGACTATGGCCCAATCCTATTTCTTATTTTCACACCTACCCCCGGTTTTCGAGTGTCACCTTGCCCCTTGGAACTGAGTTACAAGGGGTAGTCGTTGAAATCTTCCCCTAAGAAATGGGACAACCCTCAAATAAAAAAGAACATTACTTAATTAACAGGCTGCTAGCGGTGCTCTGCAGGCAACCCTAGGAGCGTAAAGTTCAGCAACCTTCAAAGAGTCGGGGATGTGACAGTTATTTATTATCACCCACCCACCCCTAATTCTTCTGTGATATGAAGCTGAAGTCAGCTATTCGCCATGTTATTAACTT